ATCCCATCAGCTGGGTTGAACATTTGAAGTTTTCTCCAATTTGCAGTAGTTTAGGGTCAATTCTCGTCTTAAATAGCTGAGTTTTGTTTTTACTATATTATAGTGATGCTTCTGCAGATGAACACGGAACTACTCAAGCAAAAGGCTGATATGATAGAGGAGTACTTTTGCATTCATATAGATAAAGATGGAAATTTGTCTAGGCTTCCAGTTATACTTGATCAATACACACCCGACATGGATCGTGTCCCTGAATTTGTGCTTTGTTTGGGCAACGACGTAAGTTCTTTTTTATTTTCTTGGTTATCAAGATTTTCCCATATTTATAACCATATTGGTTTGTGTGGTGATTCTGACGCCTTATACTTTGGAAGACAACAACAATACACACTTCTGATGAAAAAAATCCCTATTAAATTCAAAACAGATTGGCAGTAGGTGGAGAGGATCAATATTTTCCATATGAGACGCTAAATACTTAATTCGGGGGTTTATATAATTGCTCTCAACTGCCTCTTAATGTGTTACAGATTGAATCAAACTCGTGGGTTGATTAATATTTGGTGACATGGAGTAGTAAGAGTGAAACTGGATTAGACAAGCTGATGAATTGTGTTGATTTGTGCCAATAAATTTGGAGACCCAGACATACTGGGAAGTGGGTAAAGAGCCTAATAATTTTTGCCACCAAAAAAATAAAAATAAAAATAAAAAAGCATAAAAGGAACAAAGCCTTCCGATTTTGAGATTTTTGTTCTCTACAATCTTTACCTCTTCAACGGGTACAACACACATAGCTTCCATGAAAATGACCATATCTCCTCTTTCTTTATTATTAATTTAAGTTGAATTTTTTTGGTCATGTCATGATTAGAAAGTAAATAAAACCAATTGATATTTGAATGATTTGATCCAGGAGTTCCGACCATAACCTGATTGGTTGGTATTGAATTTTTCAGAATGTTAATCATTCTTTTATGTGGCTTATTGGAAATTTTTTTTTTTGGACATAATAATAGGACCACGACGATGCATTTGTTAATCAAAAGGAGCTTTATTAAGAGTTCATTTGTAAGAAAACTTTCCTGCATTTTATGTGACTAACATGCTTCAGAATTTAGTGTTTATGTTGATGTTCTTATCTTGGAGGGACATGTCAATTGTGAGGTTACTCTTGAGCATCCATTTTTCTTTGTTAAGTTAAAATGCAAAATAATCTGAAGTAGTATTTTCAATGTGACACACTGATGGGGAAACTATATAGCTGTCCTATTACTTTTGATATTCTCCATCTTTGCTGAGAAATGTAAATTTTCTGGTGCCAACTTTAATTTTCTGTTTATTTTTTAGGTTGACTGGGAGGAGGAAAAAAAATGCCTTCAAGTAATTTCAGCTGCACTTGGAAACTTCTATGCCATGCATCCTCCTATGTTGCCCAACCCATCTGGTGATGGCTTGCAATTTTACCAAAAGAGAAAACCTTCCAGGAATCCTGAAGAAAGTCTTTCTTGCAGTACTGGTATGTCTGTTTTGCAGCTGGATCTCCACATCTCTGTTTAAAGAGTCGTAATATATTGATTTCCTTTCAGTCTTATAAAGTGATTTTTAATTTTTAGAAGTTAGTTTGTGCATGATGAAAAATAATGTTTTAACCTTCCATCAGATGTATTTAGAATTATTTAAGTACAGCTAGATATTCAGAAAGAATCTGAGCCAAATCATGTGTCAAGATCCAGTGGGAATGACTTATGGCTAGGGATTTCAAGAATGAAGAGAACTGATATATTGGAGGCTAATGAGGAATCGTGAGGCGGTGTGATTAAAATCAATAAGATGAACATATTGAAGATTATTTCCTAAAAGTTGACTTTGCTTTTAGTGCTCAAGTCAGTAATCATGACAGATTTTTTAGGAATACAAGGAAAACTCCCACCAAGTTAGGGTGAAAAAATATAGTAACACTAGCAGCACATTCCTTGTCAATTTGCAAATCTGCGTTCACAAAATCAATGATCTCCAGGCATCTTAAAGTTTTCTTTTGATCTTCTGAAACCTCATAACGTTTGCAGTTTATTGGTACTAAAAACTCCAGCCAGTTACATGGGGATCTCCAGGCGTATGATAGATAGTAATCATTAATCAGCACTCTCTCTCTCTCTCTCTCTCTCTCTCTCCTCTCTCTCTCTCTCTCTCTCTATGCTTGTATTTGTCAGAACAAAAACATACTTGAGCATTAATTTCATGCAATTGGAATCAATTAAATAACACCAATCCGAGCTGGAGTGCTTTTTTTTGGTGTGTACAGGAGATGATGTCGTGACAGAAAATGAAATCGAGCATGAACTAGTTGCAGAGGCAGAGACTGCATGGGCCCAGCGCGAGTGGTCTATCCAGCATGTTTTGTTTCCATCAATGAGGCTCTTTTTCAAGCCACCAAATTCTATGGCTACAAATGGAACATTTGTCCGGGTAAGCTGCATTTCTTTAAAAGTCTATGACATACTTATTAATTGCTTCTAGATTCTTCAGATACCCCTAAAGACTAAACTTAAACTTCTTAGTGTTCAATTGTCAAGAATCTGTTTTTTTTCTTTTTTCGTATGTAGATGACAATATCGCTGTCTGTCCTGTTTAGCCACATGTTGGTCTCTTTGCTCCCTTTTATACATATGACCATCTGTGTTTCACTATTGTTATCTATTATTGTCTAGTATTATTTTTATATTTTTATTATTAATATTACTAATTTTATCATTATTGATGCTGTTGTCACATTTTTTATTATATAAATTCTCGGTTTGTTGGGGAAGTGTTGTTTTGTTTTTTCTTATATTATAAAAAACATATTTTCATGAAAGAGGAACAGAACAATATAGAAGATAAGTTGTCCCTGGTCTAGCTAGAAGATGATAGCTCACCAAAACAAGAAAAACAGCGAAACATAGCTAAGCAACAAAGATACATGGATGCAGAGCTACAAAAATTAGTGCTTAATGACATCCGTTTTGTAATTGAAATGATATGGGAATCTTGCAATTTGTATATCTGAAAATCGAGGATATCCTTTGCTTTTTGTAGGTAGCTTCACTCGAGAAACTTTACAGGATTTTTGAAAGATGCTAATGCCACTGATCAGCGTCATGACACAAGATGGTGCAGAGGAGGGTCATGTTTACAGGCTCATGCGTTCAGCTTACTTTCAATGCACTACATGGTTCCTTATGCTCACTGTAATTGGTTTTGTACAGAACTCTGGGTTTGGTGATATTAAAATTTTGTGAGAAAACACCAGTCAGGAGCATTGTTTTCCCTTCAAAGTGGTGTATATTATAATTAGTTTAAAATCTATAAAAATCCTTTTTGAGTTTTGAAAGTGGCGTTCATCTGTGTTTCATATGCTTTTAACCCAATTTTCGAATGGGATTGAACATATCATCCTATTCGGCTGTTTTATGCTAGGATACACTTAGCTTCATTAGAATATAAACTATAGGAGCCGGAGGTGATTGTAGCTCAAGTGGTTAGGAGCTTTCACTTAAGTGTTTTCTTTTCGACTTGACTAGTGCCCAAAAGTAAATCAAAGATTGTCCTCAATGTTCCGAATTAAAGCATGGCTAATGCAAGAGATAAGATAGCTGAGGATGGTACACGGAACTCGCTTTTTCAATTTCCTTGAAATTATTCATAAAATGAACCACAATATATATATTCCAAGAGAACTTAATAAACAGCTTAAGGGGTAGGAATTTCCCATACCTGGATTTACCAAACATGGGAAAGCAATTTGATTTTCCATCTCCAAGTCTCCTTTCCCATAAACCAAATTGGGCATTGATGTGATTGTAAATAGTTAGTGAGTTAGGTGTGTAAAGCACATGAGTTGTTAGTAGTGTACGTGAATTAGTTAGATAATTGTATAAAGTGTAATATTACTGTAGCTTAAAAGATTAAGAAATACAGAAATCAACATTGCAATTCTTATACAAAACACGCACTTTTTTTTGTTACTGCCATAAAGTAAACAAACTAATTACACAAACTTTTATTCTCAAAATAACCCATCTGTCAATACAACCACAAAATATGAAATTTTGTTTTTTTCTTCTTCAAATATCAATTAAGGCAGAGTCTTCACACGAGGTAGAATTGATATTGGTCTTTTGATAATAAAATTCCTTTATTTTATTTTTCAGAATCATACTTCATTAAAACCGAGAAAGGAAGGAACAACAAAGTAGAAGCCCAAACAAGAAATTTTTGTATTTTTCGGGTATACAACGTGGCTGATGTACCATCCAATACACATGGAACATGTGAAAATATTTTATTTTATATCTTATGTGTATTGGATGGTAAATTAGCCACGTGGTGTGTACCTGCAACATGCAAAAGTTACTCCAAAAACAGGGACATATGTGAGAAATTTAACTAAACAGATAATAAAATCTCTTTCTTCATAAGAAGAACAAAAGTGTATGTGGAAAAACTTTATAAAATTAAGTTCTTTTTTCTAAAAATAGTGTAGGACTTAAACATCCTTATTAGCAATTAATAGAAAAAAACAAACAAACAAAAAGAAGTTTGAAGTATTCCTGACGATAACAAAAGAAGAATTAATTTTCGAAACAAGTTCCGAATGGATACAAGGGCGAGAGGCTCATCTTCCAATTCATACAAATCAAGTTCCGAATGGATATTTCCCTTCACAAGTTTGTCCCATTCTAGATGAACCCCTATCCTCTTAACCATCACAAAATCAACTAGAGGCCTTACAAGATTCGATACGTGGTCACCGCCTTCCATTGCAATTTCTCTCTGTTTCTCTTTCCTTCTTCTTCAGGTATCTTCGTCATACTTCTCTGAATATGTTGGTTAACATGGTATCAGCGCCCTCAGTGCTTCTCTCTGTTTCTTTCTCTCAATTTCAATTCTAGGGTTTTCTCTCTGCTTCATCATGGGTTCTTTTTCCTCCATCAAGATTGTTGGCTTGCTCAGTATGGTTACCATTCGTCTGTGACAACAATTTCTTGAAATTCTTGAAATGGACTCATCAACTCCAATGCTAATTGTTCATCCACAGCACTCGATTGATTAGTCCGAACAAATGTGTCATGGCTCCGTCCTGCTCCATCATCCGGCCGTGCGTCATGGCTCCGTCTTGCCTCATTATCAGTTTCCCCAAAAAAATCCAGATATGGTTCCACTGCTAATTGTTCATGTATAACACTGCCCCCGAAAAATGCGCCATCAACCCCCCTGAAAAATCCCGATTTGTTTCCAAATCATACAAATGAGGATCCGGATTATCCATATTTTCCTTCATGACTTTGTCCCATTCTAGATGAACCCCTGTCTTCTTCACTCTCACAAAATCAACATCATTAGGACTTACAAGAATCGATATGTGGTCACCGCCTTCCAAATGGAGCACATCGTTTGACAACTGTCCCTGCCAAAGATAATGGTCTTCAGGTTCGTTTGACTGCCAAAGATAATCGTCTTCAGATTGACTGGAATCGTCTTCAGGTTTTAAGGAGGCAAATGCTATCTTGGTGTGCAAAGCAGTTTGTTTGGTAAGATTTCTAACGATAATGTCAATAGGAACTTGAGAATCTTCAAGTTTTGGCCTGTCTGAAGAGTAAACGAAGCACATAGTCAACCCTTTTAAATCACGACCCATGATTCTTTGAAGAACTTCGAAGAAGACGATACTGTCCACATGATTGACGATTTTGAACCACTCAGGAATATCATAAATTACATTCAAATAAATTCCACCAAATCCGCAAGAAGTCCATCTCTGCACACCAGAAGCAAGACAGTCTAATACATGGTCATGCATGCATATATTATTACATGGGCCGCATCTGCAGCTGTGCTTCTCTGTGTGTGTGTGAGAGAGAGAGACCTGTAGGATGTTGTTCCTAAAATCGGCAGTCAGATTGGTGCAGCCTTCCATATGAATCCTTGTCATGGAGTTTAATGACTTATCCAAGCCTGGAACCTCTGAGTTTGAACGAATCACTTAGATACAATTCTCTCATATTCCACATTTTTGAAAAATCTGGAATTGTTTCCAATTATGGGCAGTCAATTGCTTCCAGAACATACAAATTGGTTGGTAAATCTGGGATTGCAAGAAGTTCTCTGCATGCATTTAAACACAAGACCTTGAGCTTTGAAAGGCCAGCGAGACTTGGCAAGATCAGTTAACCTGCAGCCTGCAAGACATAACTTAAGCCCTGTAATGAAAGGGGTAAAAGATGGAATTTCAAAATTCTCACCAGATAGAGATAAAATTCTCTCAAGTTCTTCAATTTTACTATGGAAGATGGAATTTGTCTGATGGAATTCAGTGGGAGATTCTTTAGCCTTCTGCAGTCTTCATGATTTACCAAAGAACGTACTCCAAGATCCCCGATGGATGAGTGAACCTTATACAAGCGCGTACAACCTTTCAATATCAACTTTTCGAGATTTGGGAATTTTGAAAGGTCTAGTGATTTTCTAATGCGATTATCATATTCGAAAAGTCTCGGAGTGACCAGATTTTGAGATGGACTCGTTCATACGTACAGAGATGGTAATCAATCATATTTTCGTTCATAACTTTGTCCCATACCAGACTAACACCTGTTTTTTTCACTTTCTCCTTCGCCCTCACTCTTATTTCAATCAAGACTTTATCACCGTCTTGCAATTTGAGCTCGTCATTTGATAACTGTCCCTGCCAAAGATAATAACCTTTAATTGGACAAAAGGGTGCGATCCTGGAGTCAAGCTCAGTACCCTTGGTCATGTTTTTAATGCTAATATGACAACCGTATATGGCTGAAGAGCAAACGAAGGACAAAGTTAACCCTTTCAAAATACGACCAACACTTTGAGGCACAGTGAAATACACAATATCATCGTCATGAACACAGTGGAACCAATCAGGAATATCATTTCCACTGAGAAAAATGCCACCATATCCGCAAGAAGTCCATCCCTATACCATGTAGAGCCAAATTTCTATAAGAATACATTTTTATGCATGCATGTGTACATGTGCGTTGTATGTGATAGAAAGAGAAACATGTATGTGTTTGTTTGAGAGAGATAGAAGATTGACCTGTAGTATGTTCTTCCTAAAATCGGCAGTCAGATTGGTGCAGCCGTCCATATGAATCCTTGTCATGGAGTTCAATGACTTATCCAAGCCTGGAACCTCAGTGAGTTTGAACGAATCACTTAGATACAATTCTCTCATATTCCACATTTTTGAAAAATCTGGAATTGTTTCCAAATTTGGGCAGCAAATTGCTTTCAGAACATACAAATTGGTTGGTAAATCTGGGATTGCAAGAAGTCTTCTGCATGCATTTAAACACAAGAACTTGAGCTTTGAAAGACCAGCGAGACTTGGCAGGCTACGAAAATTATTGTTTCCAAGAAGCAGATCTTCTAAGGAAATTAGGCTACATAGATCCTTAGGGATTGCATCCTCAGTTAACTGGCAGCAGCCTGCAAGACATAATAACTCTATTAAAGAGTTTAAGCCATGTAACGAAAGGGGTAAAAGATGGAATTTCAAAATTCTTACCACTGAGTAATAAAATTCTCAACTTCTTCAATTTTACTATGGAAGATGGAATTTCTCTGATGGCTGTGTAACCTGCTTCCAAAATTGTCAATGATACCATGTCCCCTAAGCTATCAGCCAAGTTTTGAAAACTTGGACAACGATTAAGTAGAAGAGTTTCAATAGACTTGGATTTATAGAAATTCAGTGGGAGATCTTTTAGCATTTTGCAGTCTTCAAGATTTACCAAAGAAAGTCTTCCAAGATCCCCGATGGATGAGTGAACCTCAGACAAACTCAGACAACCTTCCAATATCAATTCCTCGAGATTTGGGAGATTTGAAAAGTCTGGTGATTTTGTTAGCTCTTCGGAATGGCTGAGATTAAGGATTTTCAGATTCTCATGCAACTGTTACACAAAAACAAATTAGAATGGAAATTAAAATCCGAAAGGAAGGTCTCTGATATAATATATGTATCGAACCAGAAGGAAAGAACCAACAACAACTAGGTTGAGATTATTATACCTTGCAATCCTTCCAAACTATTTTGAGTTCGCTATACTGCAGGTCTAAAGCAACTAGTTTTGGTTGCATAGGAAAGTCATCTGGCATGGACTCTAAAGGAAAATAATGCCAGCTCAACCACATTAAATTTTTGGGAAAATCTTTGAACTCTCCAGTGAGTTCTACTCTTCTGAGGTGGAGTAACCTCAGTTTTTTCATGTTGGTAAATGCTTGTGCACTGAATCTAGTCAAATATTTTTTTTTGGACGAAAGTCTAGTCAAATCTAGATCCGAATCTAGAACAACTCCTTCAATTTTTTTAGTTCCCTGTTAACAAAAGATACCGAATTAGAAAAATGATTTACAAACATAAAAATCCGTATGTATTAACCAAAAGGAATAATTAATAGTATTGAACAATGTTACGCCCTATAGTTTGTGTTTGCAATCAAAGCACATATTTTTTGTTGGTTATGCCTAACTGAGCTTTGATCTATATAATATAAGAAATGGCAACAGGGTCTAGTGAAGTGAAAAATGATCTAAACTTGCAAACTAAGGTGTCATGTTCAAATTCATATGGCACCTTGGTAGTATGGATGTGTGAGAACCCCTTCTTTTACTTTGGTTTAGACTATCGCTTGTATTAAACAAAACACAAAAAAAAAAAAAAAAAAAAAAGAAAAAGGAAAATGAAAATATTTTAATTTATTATAGACACTGGATACATATGCTTCTCTTGCATGATGCATTGGGAAAGCACTTACAGATTCATCGCTCAATACATTTGTTATGTCTTCATGTTTCCACAATCTACTAAATTTTTCAGGATGGCCTCGGCCATTTTCACGAACGATCTCTCTTCCCATGTCTTGAAGCAAATCATGCATCATCAGCTCGTTTTCCTCACTAACAGTTACAAGGCACCGTTCAATGAGGACACTGATTCCTATCGTTGCAGAAAAGCCACATCCATCTAATATTTGTGTTACATAGTCCTTGTCCATTCCTATAAAGAAACAAGATATATCAAGGAATATCTCTCTCTTTTCCTGATCAGGTAGACCGTCAAAGCTTATTCTGAGTATTTTTTGAATATCTCCATCAGGACTTCTTTGCAATTTCTCCAAATGGCTTTCCCACTCCGCTGTGGATCTTTTAATCAGAAAAGACCCTACAACTCGAAGTGCTAGAGGCAAGCCTCGACAGTAACGAATTACACGTATTGAGAGGTCAAGATATTCTTGATTAGTATAACCACTTTCAAAGGCATGCCAACCAAAGAGCTCTAGAGCATCTTTTTCATCCATTTCTTCAGCCATATATGTGCCATCCACTCCAACTTGCTCTAGCAAATGTTTATTTCTTGTTGTTATAACAATTCTACTTCCAGGACCAAACCAATCACGAGCTCCAGCTATTGCTTTTAGTTGCTGTAGATCATCTGCATCGTCAATTATTACAAGTGCTCTTTTGCAGCAAAGTCTTGCTCTTATCATATCGATCCCTTTAGCAACAGAGCCAACCTTTATGCCCTGGCTTTTCAAGATATCATTTAGAAGTTGTTCTTGCAAACCAACCAGACCATTAAAGGGTTGGTGTGCAATTACTTCCCTCACGTTTGCAAGGAAACTCCTGCCTTCAAAGATACGTTCAAATTTGTTATAAACGGTTGTGGCAAGCGTTGTTTTTCCAATGCCGCCCATCCCCAAAATACCAATCATGCGAACAACATCCTTAGAACCTGAATTTTCAATACCAATCATGCGAACAACATCGTTCAGCCGAGAAGTAATTCCAACAAGGTGTTCGATGTCTAATTGGAATTTGCTGTACAACTGCTTATTAACCTCCCCAAGAATTTTCTTGATAAACTTTGCTTCATGCCTGGCAATTAAACAAAGAAGCAGAACTACGAATCATTCGATGCGGAACAAACTACAAGGTTAAATTGAATCCCTAACTTAATAATTTAGAATGAGCAAATTATTTTCTAACATCAAATGTTAAATGGATCTTAAAGAAGAAGAAAGAATGGATAGTTAAAACCAAACCAAACAAACAAGCACCAAAGTTGAAAGTCAAAAAGAAAGAATGTATAGTTAAAACCTAGTTGGAAAAACAAAAACAAAAACAAAAGGGACAGAACATTTTTAAGGAGATGATAATCCAAGGAACAAGAAATTAGTAATTACCCATTGTCAGCATTTTTAAGATCTTCCCCACACAAATCTGCAGCTTGAGTGAGAGCATTTCTCCACCGCTTTACCTTTTCTTTCTCATGTTTACCTTCACAGATGCCCGCTTCATGTTTCTCAAATGCTAGTGCAAAACTACCAGTTTGTTTCCGGACATCTGAAGCATCAACATTATAGAACAAGGGAATAACCTGTTGCCCCAATCTTTCTCTACACTCCATGATCTTCACCAGCTCGTCAAGACACCAAGTGGAATCGGCATAACTCTTGGAGAAGACAATTATGGAGATCATGGACCCGTCGATTGCCTGCTCCAGTTGGGTTTTTATAAATTCCGCTCTTTCTAGCTCGTTGTCGTCAAGAAAGGCGCGGATTCCGGCATCAGATAATGCGGCGTGGAGGTGGCCTGTGAAGCCCTTGCGTGTGTCTTCACCTCTGAAGCTCAAGAATACTTGGTACTTCCAACGTTTTGATGAGGAGGATGGTGAGGATGAAGAGGAGGCTTTATGGGCTTTCCTGGCATCCATTAATTGATACTGGTTCAGATCAGACCAACTACAAATTGATACTGCCTTCCATTAATTAATTAATTTTTTCTGGGCAGTGGTTTGGCCTTGAGCAGCAGATGAATATGTTATTGAACTACGTTCCTGCCAACACGTTTGTAAAGGGACGCGGAGCGAGGCAGAGAGAGCGTGGAAGATCAGTGCGGTCAAGAAAATGCAACGAAGCTTAGGGGAAAGAGGCATGAAAAGAGAGAGAAGAGACGAGCACAATGTCAAAAGAGAAGAAAAGAAGAAAAACACAAGTTTGTAAAGGGAGCTGGAGGTCGCTTTCTGTGGAAAGGCAGAGAGAGAGAGCGTGGAAGAACAGTGAAAAGAGAATGTCTTTTTGGAAGCATCACTAGGGTGGCTTTCTGTGGGCTTCAGGCTACACGGGTCGGATATGGCCCAAACCGTACATCAAACTGGGTCATGTCGGTAGGCTCAAATGGTGAACCGTTCACCTGTTTGTTGGGCCCAATTTCGAGTTAATTTGAAATCCAAATTTGTCAAGTCGGGTTGGTTCGGTTCAGTTGTCTGCCAAGGCCCTAAAAAAGCAACAATTGAAAGCGTTTTTTTTAAATAAATAAAAAAGTTTTCCAGGCCCATTCAAGTTTTAGGGTTCCTGTATGTTTTTCCAGTTTATGTAGCTTTGCATATTTTATGGTTTATCATCATTCAAATACAAAAAACATAAGAAAATCATCATCCACCGCACATGTCCAAATCCATGGAAATCATTGTTACAGTCTATAGCAGATTGTGAGAGTAATCTTAATCACAATCTGCATATTTGCAAAATTAAAAGAAAATCCAAATCAAAACAAGTAAATTTCCATTACATATAGAAATCAAATTCCATTAGTTTCATACTCCTCAAATCAAATTAGCACATCTGCACAAAGAAAAAAAAAGTTAATAAATATATGAATTAATATGACATAAAGAAACTACAAATTTTGATTAATGTAGAAAAGAAAGAAAACCTTTTTCCGTTTTTTCCAAAACTTGGTAGAAAAGAAAGATTAATTTAAAATCCACCTATAAAAAGAGCAATTACAGTCCAGCATCTATAAATGAAATTTTTAAAGTTCACTTGTATCCTAAATCATAGGAGACGGTGAAATTGAATTGCCTGGGGGTAAAGACTCCAGCAATTACTTTGTGAATGCTTGTCATCATCAGCAACACGGGAAACTGACCAATTTTCTAATGCAGAGTTCCCACCCTGACTGTAAGATAGTGACAAAACCTTTAAGTTCAGTTTAAGCTCATCTTTTTCAAGCTGGTTGAACATCATAAGTTGCTCATCGGAGTGATACATTTGGCTGGCAGTCCATAAACTAGCAAATTTTGGACATGTATTGGCCATATTGCATGACCAGATAATACGGTCTCGTCTTTCAATCAACTTGTATAGGAAAAATCAAGAGAATAACTCCAAGAATTCCTCCATTTTACTCCAGAGGTCGAGTTGAGAACCTTCAACTATTGAGATTAAAAACTCACAAGAATAACCAAAGATTCCAGTGGCTGAATTAAATCAAAGCCTCCCAGCGGCCAAAGTGAGGTCGAACCTCCTTTCGCGCCAGCAGTCGAGCTGAGGGGATGCTCAAAATAAAATTGTTTGTACCAAAATTTGCATTTTTAGCCAAATTCTTTATTAGTTTTGCCCATCATTATATGGAGGTTGGAGATCAATTGTAACAGGGAAAATTGATGTGAGACAAAGACATCATGGTGTGCATGGAAATTATTTGACATTCTTTGTGAGAAAGAATATAAAAATGAAGGAAAGATTATGGTTTTAGAGGAATCACGTTAAGAGCAACTCTACTCATTTGCCCTTAGCCATGTCAAGGGAGGAGCTAGGGCAGCCCCTATTCACGTGAATAATAGTTGCCCTTGCAAATAGTATTTTCCGTTTCCACCCGTTGTCATGGCAGGGCAATTACTATTCATTTTTTAATTTTTTTCACAACTTTTTTTACCTCAATAATTAATTTGGATAATATTTTCGGATAAGATTTTCGGGTTCCTACGTGTCAATACTATTTATATCTCATAATCGGATAAAATTTTCAATTTCAAATTTCAGATAAATTAAAATAAAAAAAAATGGGCTGGTATTTATAGAAAAAAAATCCACTAATTTTTGGGTATTTTTAAAAAAAAATTCCAAATTTTTTCCAGTATTTTATTGCAAAAGAAATTGGTTGCTGTTGGATTGGAGGAAAAAATTAGATCAGAGAACCCAGACGACGCCACGTGGCAACAGAAAAAAAAATCAAATGAGTGGGTTGACGCCAGCGTGACGTCAGCACCAGCTTGCGTTTTGGACCTCGGGCTGAACTGGCCTTCGGGCCAGCCCGAGTTGCGTGGGACCCACTCCAGCCCGTGCTTGGGCTCACCGCTGGAAACCAATTTTTGCAAAAAACTCCCCCAGCCCGAGGCAAGGGGGCCTCGGTGCTCTAAGTGCTAAGATGAAAGAGAAAAAAAAGCAAGTGGAAGATAAAAAAGAATGATAAATAAAGGGAGGAGAAGGAAAGAGAGTGTGGAATGATTAAACAAATGGGAAAACATGCAAATGGTTACGGTTGATACATTTTCTTCTGATGAAGCGACACTCAAGCAAGGATGTTGGAAAACACAAATCACGAACCACCAAGCCCGTTTTAGTCTAAGAATACCATAAAAGATAGGATAAAATACTTAAATCCGTTAATTCTAAGAATACCCAGATTATGAGCAAAGATGAAAGAACACTCCCTTTGTTTTCAATTTCAATTATCAACAACCACTCCCTTGAGAAATATGAGCATACAAGTATTTAAAGACTTAATCTCTCATCCCATACATTGAACTAGCACCTAAATTAATTAACCCATTAATCCAGATACATTAAGCCACATCCAAATAATTACGAGTCTAGCTATTCCATTCCAAATACAAGGAATTTATTAGAAACCAAAACAAAACGTTCATGCATTGAACTTATTAATGTTTTTGATTCAAATGCTCTATAAACTTTAAAGATAAACTTTAATGGCTCTTTATCTGCATCATTCTCCACAGGTTGACAAAAATTTATCCTCTAATTTATACCTTCTTGGATTAAAATCATGATCATTCACTGTTGGTCTTCAAAGTGAAATCTCCCACTCCAAAGAAATAAATATTTTGAATATTTGAATATTCTCCAATTGTGTAAATTCTCTACGGCCAATCTCTTAACCCATATATTATGCATTATGGTATCAACCAAAGTGGTTGCACAACGATGACTGAAATTATCAACCCTCGTGAGAGTTTATGGAATCATCGGTAATTGCAATATGAAGGTTGACATAATTTTCCACAACTTCTTCAATGCATTCCATTTGTTTCAGTTTCGTGTCAAAAACCTTCTCAACTGTAAAATAATAATCACAACAAATCTCGCAACAACCATTTGAACATTAATCAAATACTGGAGGGAGATCCAAATCTAATAAATGATCAAATGTATGACCACAACTAACCATTTTTATAACAGTTGATGTAGATTTGACTAGGATTTTAGTTTTGCAACTGAATTCCGCTATGATACCAATTAATGCAACGGCACTCCAACAAGGATGTTGGAAAACACAAACCATGAACCACCAAGCCCCATTTAGTCTAAGAATACCTGAAACTTGGCATAAAAGATAAATTAAAATACTCAAATATGTTAATTCTAAGAATAACCAGATTATGAGCAAAGATGAGAGAACACTCTCTTTGTTTTCAATGTCTATGTGTATTGAATGGTACACCAGCCACATGGTGTACCCCGGAACATGCAAAAATTACTCCAAAAACAAATACATATGAGACAGATTTAATTGAACCAAAAATAAAATCTCTTTCTTCTTAAGGAAAACAAAAAAGTGTATATGAAAAAACTTTATAAAATTAAGTTCCCTTTTGAAGGAAAATGAAAAGTGCCATTTAAAACTTCATAAAACCATTAGAATTCATATAGAAGATATCGCAACCATGAAACTAATATCAAAATATGATTATGTTTTTTTTCTCTTCAAATATCAATTAGGAGCAGATAAACAACCATGGCCCCAGTTGGGCCATTTGAAAGAAACTACATCTGTTTCACATAGAAATCTTGCGAGCTCAGGATGCAAGTAAGTGGGCTCACGTACATCTTCCTCTTGCTGCATATTTATGTTCCTCCAAGCGTTCAAAAGAAGACGGGTCGTTTCGTTTCCCAGCATACATGGGTCTTTGTCGGGTTATTAGACAGCAATGTTAAGCCAATCTCACCACACAATTTCATTAAGACAGGTCCAATGGTTGAGTGCTTCAGCCCTTAAATAACACTATTTAAAGGAGCATGTTATATTCTCGTATAAAATCTCTTTTGCGTATTATATACGTACATATAGAAATATGATATATAAATCAATGCAGGTTTATGCGTTTTACGTGTTCAACTTTGCAAATGAAAAGAGAGCGAAGTAAAGACGGTTCATACCAAATCTCTTAAATTTTTGGCTTTCGAAAACATCTTCAATGTGAATATAAAAACATTCCCTGAATATCAAATATTTTGTACTGTACATCATTAGAACCTGAATATCATAACTGTAGTACAAAGAAATACAAAGAAAATGGCAGCCAATGAAACTGATGGGCCCTCAAGATTTATAGGCAAAACTCTACGCAGAGGAGCTTGGGGCTTGATCAACGATGTAGAGCTTATGTCTAAGCCTCACCCTTTGGGTACTTAGCAGACTCTAGGAACGCCTTTCAGATCATCTTTGTAGTCGACATAGTAAAGCCCGAATCTTAGATTGCCTTCCTCCTACTCAAAGTTGTCATTTGACAGTGTAGGGGAAATATCCGTTCACATTCACACCATTCTTGCATAAGTACCAATGATTATCATATCTATAATTTTCTCCTTCGAGAATTTGGTTTTTCTATGAAAAAAAAATCTTGTGTGCCGTAAGGAACGCAACCTCATTAAAACCTTTACAGAGCACAATTACAAGCCCAACAAATAACATCCCACCACAACGTAATACTGTCAAAGATAAAGTTCTATTCTCGCACAGTTCTTTGAACAGTGCCAAACAAACGTGTCGTGAGTGTCAAACAGAATGAGTACCCAACTCCTTATAAACCCAGGCTAGGTCCCTTAACTTTTCAATGTGGGACAAACATTCTCAACAACTGTCAAAGAAAACTTCCTATGCACACATAGCTCTTTGTACAATGCAAAACAATGTGCCATGAGCGTCATAGCAGAGCCACCATAAGCACCAAATACCATCTTCTTATTTCTTAATCCAGACCCTAATAAAAAATGCAGGGGATCAAGATTGGCTCTTAGCATGATGAACTTCCAACAGAATATAGCCATGCGCATGCCTGCTATTTTTTGTACGTTGTTCCTTTATTCTTAATGTATTGTCACTCTTCGATTTTCTTTTACTTGGAGACAGAATTCCTTTGGACTCTAGGAAGAGTGGGGGAATTATTAGATTCCTTTGTCTTTGTTTTAATTTTTTACGAAATTTGGCATAAGTTAATTTTTAAGTTTAATCGGTTAGTCTGGCAATGACTCAACAGTTAATCATCAACTCATGAGTCTCAGTACTAACAGCAAAGCCATCCTGCCATACACCTAACTGTTCTGTCTCTAATAAGACCCCCACCTCCAATTCTTCTAATTTGATAACCAATATCATAGGAAAAAAGAAAAGGTGAGAACCCAAATCTCAATACATTTATTAACATGAGTTCACTCTATATCATTTCAAATGGCACATCAATTAGCTCGTTTTGGTGCTAATTTCTTATATAATTGGGAACATGTGGGTTTCAATTCAATTATATTTTATGAGCTTACACTAACAAAGAATGAGTGATTTTCCCTTTGAACACAGAAAATAATGGAAAGTGGCTTTATTGTGCCAACAAATAAATAATAAATATTAATTAAGTCGATAAATCTCGTTGCTCAGTTAATTGCAGAACAAATGCGGCGAATTTCACCATTTGTGGAAGACTTGACGCCGATATTACTCATCTTCACCATGGACCTTCCGAACTCTACATTGAAATTCAATGCTTGCAATCCTCTCACACCCAGAAAGCCTTGAACAAAACTTTTAGTGGAGGCATCGGTCCATAACTTCTGATCCGACTCAAGTATCCCGCGACCATTCTGCAAATTTCTAAAGAAAGTTGCATCAAACTGATTTGCGCTGCCCACGTCCAGATCAACACGCCTGGTAGCGTCGCCATTTTGAGGGCAAAGTGATTGCAGTTGAGAAAGGAAGAGAGGGTTGATGCTTGGGTCAGCGCCATTTCCAGTTGTAGTGAAGTTGTACAATCTGTACCTAAAGAATTGGCAAGCTGAAGTGCCAATGGTGTGTCCACCTGGTGACAAACGAATAAAGAAAGTTAGTTGGAAATGGAAATACAAAACCAACGATGCATGATATCCTTGATTTGATTCTATTCATTAGTGATATGAATTAGTGCCTGCTTACCAACAAGCGTGACAAGATCTTGAGTGTTGAGACCCAATGCTTGGAATTTGGCTTTTTGTACATCAACGGAGTCTCTAAAGCCAGGCAAATTGGAAGTCTCAGATGCCGATGAAACCCTTCCATCTCTTCTTCCAGTAGGCACATTCCAACTGAATCCCTTGGTCTGCAACAAGAAGTCAAAGTAATTTTTAATTAGCACATGGTTATTAATAACTAGATACATAAGCATGCATGCATGTATATATATTTACTTACGAGAACCACAGAATCACGAGCAGCAGGAGCAAGAATATCCGCACAGGAAACCACCCCGGGGCATGCAGCTTCAAGCTTAGTCTTTGCATCGTCGATGACTTCCCAACCTCTTAAACCGCGGTTAGGTGCGGCTGTTTGTCCAATGTTCCAATTCTCAAAAAGAACAGCTGAGAGTCATTCAAGGATATTGATTGACAAAGAGACAAAAATAATCAAATATATGGCTGTTGATTTTTATATTATTTTGGCATTGAAGAAGAATAATTCAAACCCAAAGGGGTTTTCTCACCAACACTTATGTGTTAGTGGTGAGTGGAAGAATTCTTTTCCAATTGTTATTCTTCAGATATCTCAAGTGGCAATCATCATGTCTTCCTATTACAAAATTGGGTAGAAAGAAAGAAAGGTTAACTACATAAAGTACCCAATTTTTAGGGGTTGTTTTAAATTAGTACCAAACCTTTTAAATTTTTAATAGGAATACCCGGCCTTTTGTAAAATATAAAAATTAGTCACTCCGTTAGTCAGACCGTTAGTGGAGGCGTTAAGTGCTTACATGGCTGCTCTGATGTGGTTTTTTTTTTTGCTGATATGGATATCACGTGAATTAAAAAATAAATAAAAACACTCTCTATTTTTTTAAATTAATTTAAAATTTTAAAATTAAATATATAAATGATTAAAATAACATAAACTTAAATAATTTAAAATAATAATAATAAAAGAACTACCCCATACCCCATCCTAACCAATATCCACCATATCCACCCACCCCCAACCCACGCAACACCAGACCACCAACCAACCACCACCGTTGGCTCTCTCTCTCTCTCTCTCTTTCTCTCCCCCAAAAACATAGCCCACCACCTTCGACGACGAACCCAGCCGTCACCTCCATAGAGATAAATTTGTGGGTTACAGCGGGTGAAGAACTTGGCGACGAAGAGATGGTGTGGCCTTGGCAACGAACACGAAGACGACGAATCTAGAGTGAGGCTCGTCGGCTCTAAAGAGAGGAAGGTTGGCTGGGGCTGCAGATGGGGATGGGGGTCGGATCTCTGTCAATCTCCATCTCTCTCTCTCTCTCTCTCTCTGTGTTTAGCAGATGTGGCTGGTTGCACTGCGAGGAAGGGGTGTGGTCGGCGAAGCTAGGAACCCGCGGAGGAGGCATGGGTGCCTTGATAAATTTTTGGTACGGAGATGAGGTCATTTTCCCTTCTGTTTGGTCGGAGAAGAAAGTTTATGGATCGTGGGCGATGACTAGGTGGTGGAGAGTTCTCCACTACACCTCAAACCCAATCAGAATCCAATTCTGATAGTAAGACCGCAACATGATCATCTTCAATTCTCCTGCCACATCAAACGATCACTCCCAAAACCGATTCTGATACAAGAAAGGATGCGGAAGTGCCTCCAAAGATAGAAAATTTAATCAGAACCAAAGGAAATAATGAAGAAGATGCGTTGTAGCAAGAAAATAATGAAGAAGATGATTATCTGGATGATGATGACATGGATCCTGATGCTAAATGGCCACTCATAGAGTCATGGCTCGAGGATGATGATGATATGGCAGATACACCGTACACATAAAATGAAAAATGAATACAACCGTATCTAGTATGAAATTAAGATTATTACCTAAATAATTTTGGGGAGGATGCATGTATTTCCGTATCCAATATTACCTACCTTGGCACAAGAGCTTAGGTTTTCGAGTTATGACATTGACTTATAAATATCATCTTATAGAAGAGAATTTATACCACAAAGAATTGTTAAGAAATCCTAGCGGTCATACTCTCTCTCTCTCTCTCTCTCTCTCTCTCTCTCTCTCTTATCACTATTCTTCTCTGTGGATACCTGAGAGGCTTCACATTTGTTGAGCTATTGAGTCTTTAAGGGTAACTTTGAGGATTTGAAGAGAAACTCAATCTGTGAAATACTAGGATTGAGATCCGCGCGCTCTCGTAATAAAGGTAATCAATCTTGAATTATTGTACTTGTTTACATATGTATATGTGTATCATTCACAACTATACTATTGGTTTGTGGAAAATGAATATTTTAAATTTTTTTTTTTTTTTTTTTTTTTTTTTTTTTTTTTTTTTTTTTTTTTTTTTTTATTGCAAAGCAAAAAACCAACAATGTTATCAAAACCAAATAAGTCATTCTATTAAGCTTTTTTATGTTTTGAAAAAAAAAAAATATAGCATTAAGCTTTTCAGTACACAATAAAAAGTTGCAATTTAAAATGAGTCATTCTATTTAGACTCATTAAATGTCTAAGTATACCTGTACTTCTAAGTTTATCCAACAATTTTGTAAATAAACCATGCCTTCTTCGATAGTGCCCCTCAATATTAATCATACTGAGCTTGAGCTACCAATAAAACGCATTCACTTTTTACTACAAACAATAGCCAACACCCTTCTCACGCTATTAGTCAGTTTTTTTTTTCCTGTTCTAGAGATGCTATTGATACTCTTAAAATTTCATCATGCACTCATAAACATATAAACATATAGAGTAAATTGCTCTTTTTTGTTTTGAATGCTCTTTACTACTTGAATTAGAATAATTTGCACTTACAAAAAGGAGTATATAACTATTGGGGATTGGGATTCGAACATAGCACCTCATAATTGCTCTCAATGAGATCTCCTTTCTTTTTTAGTTGTCTTTTGTACTATACTTGTGTTATATCGTGTAAAATTGAAAATAAAAGAACTTAAATGTGTAGGATTAGAGCATCTCCAATAGTCTCTTCAACAATTTTGGGATGCTCACATAAGTGAGCCACATCATAAAAAATCTCTCCAACAACCTTTTCAAACTCATTAATCAAAGGTGCAACCAATTTAATAAGTTGATTTTCGCTCTTCAAAATATTTAATTTTACTTTAAAAAAACAAAATCTATTTTGAAAATGTTAAAAACATGCATTTTTTCTTTCAAATAATAAATACATAAACATTTTTTTTCATATTTTTCATGATGTTGCAAATAAACCTTTTTAAATTGCCATATATTTATATATATATATATTTTTTTTTTAAACTTTAAGAGAGAAGTAACTGTGCAGAGGTGAATGCACTTGACTTTGTACAAGGCGAGAAAAAGGTCTTCAACCACGTCAGCGTCGAGCTGCTGAAAAACGACTCTTTACCAGATAGACTAGAGAGAGAGAGAGAGAGAGAGGACTCGGATTTCTCGGGAGGACATAGAGAGATAGAGTGAGAAGAGATAGGCTTAGCGAGAGAGAGAGAGAGATAGAGAGAGAGAGGAGAGAGAGGCTCACAGAGCGAGCTAGCTCCTGACGAGTCAAAGGCTTTTGGGTAAGGGGAAGAAGAAGAAGAAGAAGAAGAAGAAGAAGCTTCTTTGATGCGTTGGGGTGCCAATCTGAAGAGGAAGAAGAAGGCCTCTAATGTATTGAGGTCGGCGGTCTGGGCTGCCGATCTGTGTTGAATGGATAGTTTGGTAGAGATGCTTCAACGACATAGGGTGGCTGCAAATGACCATATCTCTTCTCTTTCTTTATTATTAATTTAAGTTGATGAATTTTTTCGGTCATGTCGTGATTAGAAAGTAAATAAAACCAATTGATATTTGAATGATTTGATCCAGGAGTTCCGACCATAACCTGATTGGTTGGTATTGAATTTTTCAGAATGTCAATCATTCTTTTATGTGGCTTATTGGAATATTTTTTTTGACATAATAATAGGACCACAACGATGCATTTGTTAATCAAAATGAGCTTTAGGAAGAGTTCATTTGTAACAAAACTTTCCTGCATTTTATGTGACTAACATGCTTCAGAATTGAGTGTTCATGTTGATGTTCTTACCTTGGAGGGACATGTGTCAATTGCGAGGATACTCTTGCGCATGCATTTTTCTTTGTTAAGTTAAAATGCAAAATAATCTGAAGTAGTATTTTCAACGTGACACACGGATGAGGAGACTATATAGCTGTCCTATTACTTTTGATATTCTCTATCTTTGCTGAGAAATGTAAATTTTCTGGCGCTAACTTCAAGTTTCCGTTTATTTTTTTAGGTTGACTGGGAGGAGGAAAAAAAAATGCCTTCCAAGTAATTTCAGCTGCACTTGGAAACTTCTATGCCATGCATCCTCCTATGTTGCCCAACCCATCTGGTGATGGGTGATGGCTTGCAATTTTACCAAAAGAGAAAACCTTTCAGGAATCCTGAAGAAAGTCTTTCTTGCAGTACTGATATGCCTGTTTGCCGCTGGATCTCCACATCTCTGTTTAAAGAGTCGTAATATATTGATTTCCTTTCAGTCTTATAAAGTGATTTTTAATTTTTAATTTTCAGTCGTAATATATTGAAAAAAAATGTTTTAACCTTCCATCAGATGTATTTAGAATTATTTAAGTACAGCTAGAGATATTCAGAAAGAATCTGAGCCAAATCATGTGTCAAGATCCAGTGGGGATGACATATGGCTAGGGATTTCAAGAATGAAGAGAACTGATATATTGGAGGCCGATGAGGAATCTTGAGGCGGTGTGATTAAAATCAATAAGATGAACATATTGAAGATTATTTCCCAAAAGTTGACTTTGCTTTTAGTGCTCAAGTCAGTAATCATGACAGATTTCCTAAAAATTCCGAATGGATATTTCCCTTCACAAGTTTGTCCCATTCTAGATGAACCCCTATCCTCTTAACCATCACAAAATCAACTAGAGGCCTTACAAGAATCGATACGTCACACGTGGTCACCGCCTTCCAAACGGAGGGCATCGTTTGACAAATGTCCCTGCCAAAGAAATCAAGATTGCAATATCTCTCTGTTTCTCTTTCCTTCTTCTTCAGGTACCTTCGTCATACTTCTCTGAATTTGTTGGTTAACATGGTATCAGCGCCCTCAGTGCTTCTCTATGTTTCTCTCTCAATTTCAATTCTAGGGTTTTCTCTTCTGCTTCATCATGGGTTCTTTTTCCTCCATCAAGATTGTTGGCATGCTCAGTATGGTTACCATTCGTCTGTGACAACAATTTCTTCAAATTATTGAAATGGACTCATCAACTCCAATGCTAATTGTTCATCCACAGCACTCGATTGATTAGTCCGAACAAATGCGTCATTGCTCCATCCTGCTCCATCATCCAGCCGTGCGTCATGGCTCCGTCCTGCCTCATTATCAGTTCCCCCAAAAAAATCCAGATATGGTTCCAATGCTAATTGTTCATGAATAACACTGCCCCTGAAAAATGCGTCATCAACTCCCCCTGAAAAATCCCGATTTGTTTCCAAATCATACAAATGAGGATCCGGATTATCCATATTTTCCTTCATGACTTTGTCCCATTCTAGATGAACCCCTGTCTTCTTCACTCTCACAAAATCAACTAGAGGCCTTACAAGAATGGAGACTTGGTCCCCGCCTTGCAAACGTAGCACATCATTTGACAATTGTCCCTGCCAAAGATAACCGTCTTCACGTTCACTCCAAGTTAAAACCGAGCCAAATGCCATCCGGGTGTGCAAAGCAGTTTGTTTGGTAAGATTTCTAACGATAATGCCAATGTGACCTTGATCATACCAATGAAATAAGAATTTTGAGTAAACGAAGCATATAGTCAACCCTTCTAAATCACGACCCATGATTCTTCGAGGAACTTCAAAGAAGACGATATTCTGCACATCATCGTCCAACTCGAACCACTCAGGAATATCATAAATTCCATTGAAAAAAATTCCACCATATCCGGAAGAAGTCCATCCCTATATCATGTAGAGAAAGATTTGTATAAGCATTACATTCTTATTCAAGTGCACGTGCGTATATCACATGCGTCTGTGTGTGATAGAGAGAGAAACAGATTGACCTGTTGGATGTTGTTCCTAAAATCGGCAGTCAGATTGGTGCAGCTTTCCATATGAATCCTTGTCATGGAGTTTAATGACTTATCCAAGCCTGGAACCTCAGTGAGTTTGAACGAATCACTTAGATACAATTCTCTTATATTTGACATTTCTGAAAAATCTGGCATTTTTTCCAATGCAATGCAGCCATCTGCTCGTAAGAATTTCAAATTTGTTGGTAAATCTGGGATTGCATGAAGATTTATGCAGTCATGTAAAGACAAATCTTGAAGCTGTGAAAGACGACTAAGGCTTGGTAGGCTGCAAAAGTAATTGCCGTCAAGATTTAAATGTACTAAGGAAATTAGGCTACCGAGATCCTTGAGGAATGCATCATCAGTTAAACTGCAGTTTGCAAGAGCTAATTTTCTTAAAGAGCTTAAACTTTGCAATGAAGGAGGCAAAAGATTTGTTGATGGCGACCCTTTCACAGGGCATAAAGATAAAACTTCCAGTTTCTTCAATTTTAATATGGAAGATGGAATTTGTCTGATGGCTGTGTAATCCGCTTTCAGAGTTGTCAATGATACCATGTACCCTAAGCCCTCAGCCAACGTTTTAAAACTTGAACAACAATTCAGTATAAGAGTTTCAATAGACTTGGATTTATAGAAATTCACTGGGAGATCCTTTAGGATTCTGCAACCTTTAAGATTTACCAAAGAAAGTCTTCCAAGATCCCCGATGGATGAGTGAACCTCAGACAAACTCTCACAGTCTTCCAATATCAATTCCTCGAGATTTGGGAGTTTTGAACAGTCTGGTGATTTTGTTAGCCGGCGGGAACCACTGAGATTAAGGATTTTCAAATTCTGATGCAACTGTTACACAAAAACAAAATTAGAATGGAAATTAAAATCCAAAAGGAAGGTCTCTGATACAGAAATTAAACCAAAATGAAGAGAAGGTGAAGTATGATATATGTATAGAACCAGAAGGAAAGAACCAGAGAAGTTGAGATTATTATACCTTGCAATCCTTCCAGACTATTTTGAGTTTGCTATGCCGCAGGTCTAAAGCACCTAGTTTTGGTTGCGTAGGAAAGTCATCTGGTATGGACTCTAAAGGAAAATAATGCCAACACAACCATATTAACTTTTTGGGAAAATCTTTGTACTCTCCAGTGAGCTCTACGTTGCTGAGGTGGAGTAACCTCAGTTTTTTCATCTTGGTAAACGCTTGTGCACTGAATCTGTTCAAATCTAGATCTGAATCTACATCCGAATCTACATCCAAATCCAAATGTAGAGCAACTCCTTCAATTTTTTCAGTTCCCTGTTAACAAAAGATACCGAGTTAGAAAAATGATTTACAAAGATGAAAATCCGTGTATGTATTAACCAAAAGGTATAATTAATAGTTTGTGTTTGCAATCAAAGCACATATTTTTTGTTGGTTATGCCTAATTGAGCTTGATCTTAATGGATATAATATAAGAAATACAAATTTATAAATAAACCCAATCCTAGACATGTATTTATAAAAAAACCCAAGCACTATTTAAACATAGAAACACACCCAAAATCAACTCCAAAGTCAACTTTTTGGGTGTGTTTATAAATGGGTTTTGAGTGTGTGTAATGATGGGTTTTGGGTGTGTTTATATGTTTAAATAGTGCTTGAGTTTTTTTATAATTTCAGACCCCATTTTGGGTGTTTTAGTGAAACTCCCCCAGTGAAAAATGGTCTGAACTTACAAACTCGGTAGTGTAGATGTGTAAAAACCCCCTCTTTTACTTTGATTTAGATTATCGCTTGTACTAAACAAAAAAAAATAAAGAAATGGAAAAGGAAATTTTAATTTATTATAGACACGAGACACATATGCTTCTCTTGCATGATGCATTCTAAAACTTTACTGGGAAAGTACTTACAGATTCATCGCTCAACACATCTTTTACGTCTTCACGTTTCCACAATCTACTAAAATTTTCAGGGTGACCATCGGCATTTTCATAAACGATCTCTCTTCCCATGTCTCGAAGCAAATCATGCATCCTCAGCTCGTTTTCCTCACTAACAGTTACAAGGCACCGTTCAATGAGGACACTGATTCCTATCGTTGCAGAAAAGCCACATCCATCAAATATTTGTGTGACATAGTCCCTGTCCATTCCAATAAAGAAACAAGATATATCAAGGAACATCTCTCTCTTTGTATGATCAGGTAGCCCGTCATAGCTTATTCTTAGTATTTTTTGAATATCTCCATCAGGACTTCTTTCCAATTTCTCCAAATGGCTTTCCCACTCTGCTATGGGTCTTTTAATCAGAAAAGACCCCACAACTTCAAGTGCTAGAGGCAAGCCTTGACAGTAACGAATTACACGTTTTGAGAGGTCAAGATATTCTTGATTAGGATAACCACTTTCAAAGGCATGCCAACCAAAGAGCTCTAGAGCTTCTTTTTCATCCATTTCTTGAGCCATATATATGCTATCCACTCCAACTTGCTCTAGCAAATGTTGATTTCTTGTTGTTATAACAATTCTACTTCCAGGACCAAACCAATCACGAGCTCTAGCTATTGCTTTTAGTTGCTGTAGATCATCTGCATCGTCAATTATGACAAGTGCTCTTTTACAGCCAAGTCTTGCTCTTATCATATCGATCCCTTTAGCAACAGAGTCAACCTTTATGCCCTCGCTTTTCAAGATATCATTTAGAAGTTGTTCTTGCAAACCAACCAGACCAGTAATGGGTTGGTTTGCAATTACTTCCCTTGCATTTGCAAGGAAACTCCTACCTTCAAAGCTACCTTCAAATTTGTTATAAATGGCTTTGGCAAGCGTTGTTTTCCCAATGCCGCCCATCCCCAAAATACCAATCATGCGAACAACATCCTTAGAACCTGAATTTTCAATATCTAAGTGATTACTCAAAACCTTCATCCGAGAAGTAATTCCAACAAGGTGTTCGGTGTCTAATTGGTATTTGCTGTACAACTGCTTATTAAGCTGCCTAAGAATTTTCTTGATAAATTTTGCTTCATGCCTGGCAATTAAACAGAAGCAGAACTACGAATCATAGATAAAGAGATAAACAAAGAATATCACTACCGTATAAACAAATAGTTTTAGAGTAAGCATTATATAATCTCCAAGATTTTTTTTAGTAAAAAAGAGAATAGATTCTCCGTTTTTATACCGCATACCCTACCTTTTTTATTTTTACACCAAGAAATGAAGTGGGGTGATCCAGATTTGTCGCGGTTGTACAAGAATTTCAATATTTGAAAATCATTCGATGTGGAACAAACTACAAGGTTAAATTGAATCCCTAACTTAATAATTTAGAATTAAGATATAATTAAGAATATTGGGATTTAACATTACCAAGTAAGAAAGAATGCATAGTTAAAACTAAACAAACAAACACAGTTGGAAAAATAAAAACAAAAACAAAAACAAAAACAAAAAAAGGACAGAAAACATATAGTTGTCAAGTAAGGAGATGAGCAAGAAATTAGTAATTACCCATTGTCAGCATTTTTAAGATCTTCCCCACACAAATCTGCAGCTTGAGTGAGAGCATTTCTCCACCGCTTTACGTTTTCTTTCTCATGTTTACCTTCACAGATGCCCGCTTCATGTTTCCCAAATGCTTGTGCAAAACTACCAGTTTGTTTCCGGACATCTGAAGCATCAACATTATAGAACAATGGAATAACCTGTTGCCCCAATCTTTCTCTACACTCCATGATCTTCACCAGCTCGTCAAGACACCAAGTGGAATCGGCATAACTCTTGGAGAAGACAATTATGGAGATCATGGACCCGTCGATTGCCTGCTCCAGTTGGGTTTTTATAAATTCCGCTCTTTCTAGCTCGTTGTCGTCAAGAAAGGTGCTGATTCCGGCATCAGATAATGCTTCGTGGAGGTGGCCTGTGAAGCCCTTGCGTGTGTCTTCACCTCTGAAGCTCAAGAACACTTGGTACTTCCAACGTTTTGATGAGGAGGATGGTGAGGATGAAGAGGAGGCTTTATGGGCTTTCCTGGCATCCATTAATTGATACTGGTTCAGATTAGACTAACTACAAATTGATACTGCCTTCCGATCCGACTTGAGCAGAAGAAGTTCTCATAATTAATTATTTTTTCTGGGCTGTGGTTTGGCCTTGAGCAGCAGATGAATGACGAATTATAGTAATTTGTTCCAACCGAAGACATAAACAAAGACAAGACTAATCTTTCTAAAGCAAAAAAGACTCGAAATTATTGAACTACCCTAAGTCAAGGTCAAGGCCTTCGAACGTTTCAGTCAACAGAAGCAAAAGTCCCTACCCTAGGTTAGCCATCGACCCCTTATCTTTGTCCTCTCCCCCAAATATCCATCTCATAAACACCATAACCACCACTCAAAACCCCAACCCACATGGATGGACAGTGAAGACTTCTTCACTGGTTCTCTCAACTTTTACATCTAAAGAAAAGAAATTTGGATTCTAAAAAGATAGAGAAGAAAATGTACTCATGAGAAGGAAACATAGAGAGAAGAGAGAAAGAAATAAATATAAATAAAGAAGACGAAAACTTGGGAAATAGCAAGAAGAAAAAAAAATAGAAAGGAAGAAGAAACCGTGCCAGGAAAGAAGAAGAAAACTATGCCAAGGAAAGAAGAAGAAAACAAGAATAGGAAAAAGATAGAGAGGAATAAAAAAAACAAAGTGAAGACAGGGAGATTCGGTGATAGAGAAGAAGAATAATAAAAAACAAAGTGAAGTTACGTGGGTGTTTTGTTTTCGTAATATGAATTGTGATACAAAATTACAAAATTATCCTTCTTAATGGGTGGATAACGAATATTCGTGAATGGACCCGACACGACCCGTTAACTTAACGGGTGGCTAACGGGTTCACTCATTTTCAACCCAACCCATTAAGCTAAACCCAAATACTGATAATTTCGTGCAAATTTGTGTCGTGTTAACGGGTCGTGTACAATATTGCTAGGTCTACTCTCCAGTTTTAGATTGGTTATCTATTCAATTTAACTTTCACACAAGCATGTGTTGGTGTGACGATGTGAAATTTCTGGAATCTGAGATGTTCTTCCATAACCCATCATCCAATTCTATGCTTCATGGGGAGATCCGAAGTGAAGAGCAAAATTGGAGTAACTTGGAAAACGAAGAAATTTGCAGATTAGACTAACTACAAATTGATACTGCCTTCCATTAATTAAAAAAAGACTCGAAATTATTGAACTACCCAAAGTCAAGGTCAAGGCCTTCGAACGTTTCAGTCAACAGAAGCAAAAGTCCCTACCCTACGTTCCCGCCAACACGTCATGGACTCGGAGAGAGGCAGACAGAGTGTGGAAGATCGATGTGGACAGAGGGTAATTTTCTGGAAGCAACCAAAACCAAGGGTCGCTTTCTGTGGCTGCTGGCTACACGATCTGCTGGACGGCTAAGATTGAAGGTCAGGAAAATGCAAGGAAGCTTAGGGGAAATAGGCATGAAAACATAAGGAAGAGACCAGCACAATGTCCAATCAAAAAAGAAAAAAAAACACAAGTCTAGTACTCAGGCCCACCTCTCCAGCACAACTGACAAACGGGTTGTGATAATGGATTTTGGGTTGTGTTCGTGTCAACACATTAACTTAACGAGTTAACACAACTCGACATGTTAAATTAATGGGTGGCAAATACTAGACTCAAACATGACCCGTTACAATTCGCGAATATCTGACACAGCCCATTAAGAATAAACCAGAAAAAAAATAAAATAAAATAAAAACCCACCAACTATCACCGAGGTTAGCCATCAACCCCTTATCTCTGTCCTCCCCCCCAAATATCCATCTTATAAAAACCATAACCACCACTCAAAACCGCAACCCATATGGACGGACAGTGAAGACTTTTTCACTGGTTCTCTCAACTTTTACTCATGAGAAGGAAACATAGAGAGAAGAGAGAAGGAAATAAATATAAATAAAAGAAGACGAAAACTTGGGAAATAGCAAGAAGAAGAAAAAACCGTGCTAGGGAAAGAAGAAGAAAACTATGCCAAGGAAAGAAGAAGCGGCTCCCTCCCTTTCTCTCCACCTCCTCTCTCTCTCTCTCTCTCTCTCTCTCTCTCTCTCTCTCTCTCTCTCACACCATAAAACATAGCCCCCCACCTTCGACGACGAACTCAGCCGTCACCTCCATAGAGATAAATTTGTGGGGTTACAGCAGGTGAAGAACTTGGCGACGAAGAGATGGTGTGGCCTTGGCAACGAACACGAAGACGACGAATCTAGAGTGATGCTTTTCGGATCTAAAGAGAGGAAGGTTGGCTAGGGCTGGAGATGGGGATGGGGGTCGGATCTCTGTCAATCTCCCTCTCTCTCTGTCACTATCTATCTCAGCCTCTCTATCTGTTTAGCAGATGTGGCTGGTTGGGCTTCGAGGAAAGGGTGTGGTGGCCGAAGCTATGAACCCGCGGAGGAGGCATAGGTGCCTTGATAAATTTTTGGCACAGAGATGCAGGGACGGACCCAGGAATTTGATGTCGTATGGTCATAGTGTAAAAGTTCAATTTTTTTTTAAAGATTAATATAACATTGAAAATGAAACTACAGTACATTCATTCGTAATTCATGTAAAAAACAATATTACAAATTACAATTGGCCACGACGAGGTTTCATATTTTGAAAACGAAGCATTATAGCTTCATTTTCAATACAATCAAAAACATCCTTCTCAACATAAACAAGTAAGCTATCATTCAACCATTGATCTCCCATTTTGTTCCAAAGTAGACCTTTGATAATATTCATGACGGAAAATGCCCTCTCAACTGAAGCAGTAGCAACCGGTAAAACTAGAGCCAATGTAATAAGCAAATACACATAATTGAATGCTCGATGCATCCTTGTCTCCACTATTTTTTTTGCAAGATCACCAATCCCTTGCAAGTCAAAGAAATCACTACTTGAACACACATAGTGAATATAAAGTTCAAGTTGATCTTCAAGTGCCAAAAGATCCCCATCCGAAAAGTCTTGAGGATAAAATTGAGCAAGACAAAGTAGCTTTTGTTTATCAAAAGCTACAAATGAATCATTCGGACTCAAACATGCCAAACAAATAAGCAACTCAGTATTTACCTCATTAAAACGATCATCTAACTCCGTAAGTTGCTCATCAATGACATAAATAAAGAGCTCCACACGATAATGATGACGATTTGTCTTTATTGGAGCATTACGCCTTGACCTCCCTGGAAGTACGAAGGCATCATCCATGTTAGGAACATCAATATGATGTTTGTCACAAAATGAAGACACCTCTTCAACCAATGCATCAAACCCATTATTCCTCATCCAATGTAGCTTTTCCTTGCATGATTTCACCAAAGCCATTGCATTCACAATTTCTTGATCTTTCTTTTGCAATGCTTGTGACACATCATTTGTGAGTCCCAATATAGCTTTCATTAAGAATAGGTGAAACACAAACTGAAAAGTAAGCATTTCCCTTTGAATCTTATTTGCTTCACCGGCACTATCATTGGGATTATCATCAATAATCATTTGAAGCACATGAATCACAGATGAAAACATAGAAATGATGCTAATAATGGTACCGTAATGTGAGCTCCATCGTGTGTCACCGGCACGTTTGAGACTTGTTTCTTGATGCAAACCTCGCCCCGTTATAAGACAATCATTTTCAAAAGCTATCACAAGCTCTTCTTGAAGTTGTGCTCTAAGTGCATCACGCCGCTTACAAGACGCTCCAACATGGTTAACCACACTATTAGTGGTTGTGAAGAAAGAGGCAATATCAATATTCTTCTTTGCTACGGCAACAAGTGCTAGTTGAAGTTGATGAGCAAAGCAATGAACATAGTATGCACAAGGTTGTTCTCTCAAAATCTTTGTTTTGAGGCCATTCAACTCACCTCTCATATTGCTAGCTCCATCATAACCTTGTCCTCGTAACTTAGAAAAGCTCAAACCATTGGAAGAAAAGAATATGTCAATGGCATCCTTTAGTGAACTTGAAGTGGTGTCGGTAACATGTTGAACCCCCACAAACCTTTCAATTACATGCCCTTTGTCGTCCACATAACGCAACACCATAGCCATTTGCTCCTTCACAGAAATATCACGTGCTTCATCCACCAATATAGAAAATAATCTATCTTTTAAACCACTCATGATAACATCAAGTGTTTCCCCGGCACATGCATTGACAATATCTTTTTGAATCTTTGGAGCTACTAACTTGAGATTCCCCGGAGCATTTTCCAACACAACTTCTTTAACTTTCTCATCATTGTCTGCAAGGAATTGCAATAGCTCCAAGTAATTTCCCCTATTGCTTGAAGTGGCACTTTCATCATTTCCACGGAAAGAAAGACCTTGTCTCAATAGAAACTTAATGCACTTGATTGAAGCAATTAAGCATCTTCGATATGCCACACGAGCTTGTTCGGAGTGTTTGCTCACAGCCGTTTCAATATGTGTATTTTGATTCATCAAATTTGTAGCAGCTTCTCTAGCTTTATTATGAACACTACCAACCGGTCCAACATGCACCTTCATTCTTTCTCTCCCTTTCTTCCAATTCTTAAACCCTGCTCCAGTGAAGGCTTCACTACCCACTTGCTCAAAATTGGATTTAAAGAGATAGCAATAAAGACAAAATGCAGCATCTTTAGATACACTATACTCCAACCAATCAAATTCATCAAACCATTGGGGAATGAAGCGTCGATTAATTCCTGAGATATTACTTTGTGGGAAAGAATGACCTCTAGGTTGACAAGGTCCTTTTTGTAGATATGCTCTTCGAACCTCATCTCTAATATTAGTATCATACTCAATCATACGAATTCTTAGTCCCGGGTCTGCCTGAAGATTAGCCAAAACCCCATCTAACTCACTTTGTCTTGAACTTGAAGTTCTTGAATTACCCACACTATCCGAACTACCCAATTATGACTTCCTCTTAAAAAATCTTTCCATAATTCTACATAAATTAATCAAAATAATAAGTAAAATCAATTAAAGAGAACACCAAATTTATACCAATTAACCACAACAAATTCATAAATAAAACATCCAATATATCAAAACAATATAATATAATCATACATTCAATTTCAATTCAATTAAAGAGAACACCAAATTTATACTAATTAACCACAACAAATTCATAAATAAGACATCCAATATATCAAAACAATATAATATAATCATACATTCAATTTCAATTCAAGTTATTTAGGTTTAGAGTTAGAATTTACCTTGAATTGTGAGGTGGTGGAAGCGAAGCAAAGCTTTTGGAAGTGGCGGCGCTGCTGGAAGCGGCGGCAATGAAGGAGTTGGGGCTTAAAAGCTTGGTGGGGGAGAGGGTTAAAGGTTTGTGGGGGGTGGAGATTGGGGATTTAGGTTTGAGGGTTTAGAAAATGGGGGTTTTGAAGTTGAAAAATCGGGAGAGATGGGGAGGGTTTGTGCATATACAAGCTGACCTCTTTTTTTTTAAAAGATCTGGACCAAAACGACGTCGTTTTGGCCAGGTCTTTTAAAAAAAATTCGGTACTGTGCTACTGGACCAAAACGACGCAGTTTTGGCCAGCGCAGTTTTAAAAAAAAATCGCTACCAAAATGACGTCGTTTTGGTAACCGGGTTTTTAAAAAAAAATTAGAAGCTGGGCCAAAACGACGCCGTTTTGGACAGCTTCTTTTGAAAAAAGAACAGATTTCTGTTCATCTTCTTCTTCCTCAATACCTCTGCAACTTCTTCTCCAGCTTTTCATGAGGTCACATAGCAATTCAAAGGGGCCTTCTACCTTACTTTCTTGGAGTCCATAGGGTCGTTTGACCCCATTGACCCCACTGTGGGTCCGTCCCTGCAGAGATGAGGTCATTTCCCCTTCTGTTTGGTCGGAGAAGAAAGTTTATGGATCGTGGGCGACGGCTAGGTGGTGGAGAGTGCTCCACTACACCTCAAACCCAATCAAAATCCAATTCTGATAGTAAGACCGCAACATGATCATCTTCAATTCTCCTGCCACATCAAATGATCACTCCCAAAACTGATTTTGAGATAGGAAAGGATGCAGAAGTGCCTCTAAAGATAGAAAATTCAATCAGAACCAAAGGAAAATAGATCAGAATCCAACCAAAATGACAATGATTGTGCGTTATAGCAAGAAAATAATGAAGAAGATGATCTGGATGATGATGACATGGATCCTGATGCTAAATGGCCACTCATAGAGTGTCATGGCTCGAGGATGATGATGATATGGCAGATACACGTGAAAATGAAAAATGCATGCAACCGTATCTAGTATGAAATTAAAATTATTACCTAAATAATTTTTGGGAGGATGCATGTATTTCCGTATCCAATATTACCTACCTTGGCACAAGAGCTTAGGTTTTCGAGTTATTACTTATAAATATCATCTTATATAAGAGATTGATATGATTTACTTTTCATTATAGCATAAAATTTGATTATCTGTGATATATTTTAGCTTTTTTATGTTTTGAAAAAAAAAATATAGTATTAAGCTTTTCAATACACATAAAAAGTTGCAATTTAAAATGAGTCATTCTATTTAGACTCATTAAATGTCTAATTATACCTGTACTTCTAAGTTTATCCAACAATTTTGTAAATAAACCATGCCTTCTTCGAAAGTGCCCCTCGGTATTAATTGTATTGAGCTACCAATAAAACGCATCCACTTTTTACTATAAACAATAGCCGACGTGTGACAACCCAAACCTTAATTAATATTTAATTATTAAAATATTAAGAAGAAAGGACAATTTTGCCCTTGACTAATTTAGTAAAGGAAAGGTTGACCTTTTGACCGAGAATGAATTTGACCATTCCACTTGCACCGTTGCGTAGAGCGCGACGAAACGAGTCCGTAGACACGTATTGGGCTCGAATCGGAATTATAACGAAGAAGTTACGATCAAAATACTTCAAGAGGCAAAATGGTAATTTGAAAAGTCAGATTTTTTAAACCCCTCTCTCTCTCTTTGGTTCGACAGAACCCTCCCCCCCCATATTTTTCTTCAGCTCAGTCGGTGGCTTCCAAGAGCCACCGTCGCCACCACTGGCGGACCCAGGAATTTTTTAGAGGAGGTGCAATGTTTTGGCCAGTGTATAGTCATTTTAAAGAAAGTATAGTTCACTCAAATAAAGCTAAACAAGATTTTCCTTCATCATGACTCATAATGAATGTTCTTCTTCATTCAAAATTAATATTCAATTATATAAATACTGGAAAAATTAATATTCAATTTCTCATGTCAATTTTCCATGGTGTCTAAATTCTGCATAATCTTCTTCAGTTCATATGGATGCACTCAACCACTCCAAACATCTCTTGGTTAATTCATATGGGAGCCAATTGAAAATTTAAATTTCAAGTTATTAACAAATATAGATGGATAGAGAGAGGGAACAAATTAATGAATTGTGGTTTGTAGGGACTGCCGATGGCATACGGTGTCGGACTGAACAGGCTACTATTGGAGTCGAAAGAGCCGAAGAGATAACTGCTGCTAAGATCAAGGCCAATAACATGACCCGTCATCTCATCACACTCCACGCCGTCCCATGAGCAACAACTGCTATTTCCTCCTGCAGCTGGTTTCCATGATGAAACCTTTGGATAAGCACCTTTAGAACGTGAAGTAGATTTGTCAATAATAAAGCTCTCCTTGAACTGCAGCAAGGCAGAGCTCTCCTCGGCATGGTAAGATAGCTGCTGCAAAGAGTCTACAAAGTTTGCAACCACAAGATGAAACAACAACAAAACTAGTAGTTTCGAGAGCATGCGAATCGACAGGTGAATCCCCATAATGTTTTGATATTTTTTGTTTGCACTCTTTGCTAAAGAATCATCTATGAAAGTTAAAGCTAGAGAGCTATCTATTTATAGATTGGCATGATCAAATGGTTTAGCAGTAGCATACACATGTCAAGTAACAATTTAATATTATATAACATTTTTATCAATACAGAAGTGATGGGATAATACACTGTCAAGTATCTATTTATGGACTGGCATGAGGTAACTAAAGTCAAGTCATCATCCAATTACCTAATAGTCAAGTCATGAGAGATAAGTACCGCACTTAATCATATATGTACGGACCGATAAAGACAATAATCATCACAGAATTTTTCAAAACGCATCCACTTTTTACCTAATAGTCTCAGATGCCGATGAAACCCTTCCATCTCTTCTTCCAGTAGGCACATTCCAACTGAATCCCTTGGTCTGCAACAAGAAGTCAAAGTAATTTTTAATTAGCACATGGTTATTAATAACTAGATACATAAGCATGCATGCATGTATATATATTTACTTACGAGAACCACAGAATCACGAGCAACAAGGGCGAGAATATCCGCACAGGAAACCACCCCGGGGCATGCAGCTTCAAGCTTAGTCTTTGCATCGTCGATGACTTCCCAACCTCTTAAACCGCGGTTAGGTGCGGCTGTTTTCTCAGTGTTTGCGCCATCGAGAAGGACTGAAGCATCACAACCCTGGACAAAACAGTCATGAAAATGCATCCTTAGTAAGCCAGGAGCAACGGAAGGATCGGAGTTAAAATGAGCTTCGACTGTTTGCTTGACAATCAACTCTGCTCTTGGACATGTACGTGAATAGAACCCTACACGAACAGGAGTAGTAACTTGGCCTTGCCCTTGCACAATCATAAAAACAAAGTACACACTTAATGATACAATTGAAGACGAAAAGCAGTTTTTGCGGTACATAATTTTGGTGCTCTGATCAAGATTCAAGATTGAGATTGAAGATTGAAGATTGAAGATATAGGTAGATAGAGTAAGAGAAAAGAGGATGAGAGTATGAGAATCGAAAGAGTCTCCACTCCAGGTATATTTATAGAGCTGGCTGGTCAATCATTTAAACGCGGAGAGATCTGATATCCATGATCAGACGGTAAACAAAGACGGCCATGAAAATAGGCCAGCCAGCCAGAAGAGGAGAAAATCAAAATTCAATTCATCTGGTACATATTACTTTTCGCTTTAACATTATTTTCCTGTCGTTTTGCATGCATATATTTTCTTTATAATCACGTGGTCTTTTGTCAACCATGCAAAAATAAAATAAATGAATTCATGTTCTTAGTCAACTGGGTGCCTTTTTGAGCAAGTCGTTGTCAACCACTGATCACTTTTCTTTCTTTTGGTCAGCACTCAGCTCAGCACCTAATTATTTCTTTAATCACCGTCATATAAGATAAAGTGGGGTCACCCGGAAATGATTAGGATTTTCTTGGTTAATAATATATTCTAATTAATTAGGTTGGTAACAAGAAATTGTGGATAATATATTCTTATAAGTTATGTCCTCGTCCCCCTCTCCCCCGTATATTATTTTCAAATTACTTTAACACCAATACGACTTATTAAAAATAACAAAATAATAATTACTTGTGGTATGTTGGTATATGCTTGGTATGTTATTCTAGCATGCAAATATATGTATTTTCATTGTTTTTGTTCCATAGATAGCTTGTACTTTTTAAGTAAAGAAGAATCTTTACTACAAATATTTTATTTTTTGTTTGAATGCTAAATTTTCTGATATAAGCGATATTGATAGAGGAGAATATGAGAGCACATGACCTCGAGGGGTAAATGCTTGACTTCTTGAATATTTGTTACTCTTATAAATATGTAATTGGTTGATAAAAAATTTATTTGTGGTAGGGGAATTTGATGCCTTAAGTGCTTTATTCTTTGATTTGCTTACTTACTAGGATTTGCATATCTCAACTTTGTTTAATTTTTAACCAACTAGCTATACTGCAAGGATTTTATTTATTTATTTACTTTTACGTTCGCGCCTTTTGGGAATTTTTTATTTATTTTTAAAAATGACTTTTCATCTTTTGATCTTTATTTTATTTTGGGATTTACATACACATCAAAAAACTTGTAATATATACAGATAATCTAGAGAACCAAGAAGATATATGAAAGTCTCATAATTGGGAATATATGGCTTTTAATTAGACACAAATTAACTTGCACAAAAGAATGAGCTCAAAGTAGTTTTCCCTTTGAAACACAGAAGAAAAATGGAAAGTGGCTTAATTGTGCCAACAAATAAATAAATCTCAATTAATAAGTTAATAAATCTCCATGGTCAGTTAATTGCAGAACAAATGCGGCGAATTTCACCATTTGTGGCAGACTTTATGCCGATATTACTCATCTTCACCATGGACCTTCCAAACTCTAGGTTGAAATTCAATGCTTGCAATCCTCTAACACCCAAAAAGCGTTGCACAAAACTTTTAGTGGAGGCGTCGGTCCATAACTTCTGATCCGACTCAAGTATCCCGCGACCATTCTGCAAATTTCTAAAGAAAGTTGCATCAAATTGATTTCCGCTGCCTACGTCCAGATCAACACGCCTGGCTGCGTCACCATTTTGAGGGCAAAGTGATTGCAATTGAGAAAGGAAGAGAGGGTTGATGGTTGGGTCAGCGCCATTTCCAGTTGTGGTGAAGTTGTATAGTCTGTACCTAAAGAATTGGCAAGCTGAAGTGCCAATGGTGTGTCCACCTGGTGACAAAACAAAAGAAAGTTAGTTGAAAATGGAAATACAAAAGCACCGATGCATGATATCCTTGATTTGATTCTATTAATTAGTAATGAATTAGTGCATGCTTACCAACAAGCGTGACAAGATCTTGAGTGTTGAGACCCAATGCTTGGAATTTGGCCTTTTGCACATCAACGGAGTCTCTAAAGCCAGGCAAATTTGAAGTCTCAGATGCCAGTGAAACCTTTCCATCTCTTCTTCCAGTAGGCACATTCCAACTGAATCCTTTGGTCTGCGACAAGTCAAAATATTTCATTAGCGCATGGTTATTAATTAATTAACTAGATATATAAGCATGCATGTATATATTTACTTACGAGAACCACAGAATCCCGGGCAGCAAGGGCGAGAATATCTGCACAGGAAACCAGCCCGGGGCACGCAGTTTCAAGCTTAGTCTTTGCATCGTTGATGACTTCCCAACCTCTTAAACCGAGGTTAGGCCCGGCGGTTTTCTCAGTGTTTGCGCCGTTAAGAAGAACAGATGCATCACAACCCTGGACAAAGCAGTCATGAAAGTGCATCCTTAGTAACCCAGGAGCAATGGAAGGATTGGAGTTAAAATGAGCTTCGACTGTCTGCTTGACAATCAACTCTGCCCTTGGACATGTACGTGAATAGAACCCAACGCGCGTAGTAACTTGGCCTTGCACCATAAGCAAGGTGGTAGCCAAGCCAACCAAAACAAAGTACATAAACAATGAAATGGAGGAACAGTACTTGTGGAACATTTTTGGTGGTTATTTTGATCTTGGTTTTGCTAAATCAAGGTTTAGAAAGGATAATGAGAGAGACAGAGCTAAAGAGGAGTATGAGACTGGAAGTGTTTTGTGTCTAAGTATTTATAGTGTAGGGTGGTCAAATAAATAATTGAACGCGGAGAGAGGAATTCAATCAAATTATGAGCCAACCAGAAGAGGCATTGACAAAGTCTTTGGTTGTTTGCATGGGGGCGGCTCCGGTTCACAAAGTCAACCATATATTCTCCTTTGAAGGCCTTCATGCAGAAGTAGACAAGGTTTCAGTTGTCACTATCTTTATCTTAATTTTTTTCCCCTACGTTTTGCTCTAATTTGTCCTCATTATTCTGTCAATTGAATATAGAAATTTATTTTACTAACCAGTTCCCATGATCTTCTTTTTTTTTCGATTCAAAAGAAAAAAAAAGTTCCCCGTTATATATCTTTGTCTATTTATATTATATATTTCTATAAAATCACATGCTCTTGGTCCACCATGCGTACATAGTTGATTTTGTAATTACAACGGACATGGATTGATATGTATTTACTTTTTTAATTTCTAAATCACCGCTACATATGATATAAAGGGGTCATCAACGAATAATTAGGACTAACAAATCACGCTCATTAAAGTTTGTACTTATCAAGAAATTGGGAGAGGTTGTTAGTGGGGTATAGCTTAGTTGTTTGAATTCTTCAACCTCTACCCATGTTGGCAGAGATTTGAAACTCTCGTGCACCAAATGAATGTTTGTGTAAGCCCCCCTCCCTCAATCACTTGTACTACTAAATTAAAAAAATTAAAGAAATTGTGAGAGGTTTCTTTCGAGAAATCCATAGAGCCGTCAAACAATTATTCAAGACATTTCGCAACTTCTATAGGACTTTAAACATTTTTCTTATCACATTCCCATTGTGGCAGATATTGTGGTGATGGGTGTGGCCGTGACGATGCTTTTTAAGGTGGCGGTGATAAGGTTTGTTTAGGCTCATGGGTTGCTTTAGGGCTTTGGTTATGTTGGGTATGTTGGGTATGTTGGGTATGTTGGCTTTGTTTGGGATTATGGTTAATTGTGGTAATGTACTAGTAGTTTTAGTGCAACTTTTGTCGATTTTAGTTTTATTTTTAACATGTTAGTTTGTTGCCCTTTTAAGATTGGTATTTTAGATGTCATGTTGATGTCTTTGATTGTATTATTGAAGTTTATCTTTGATTGTGGCAGACATTGTGGCTTTAGAAAAAAAGATACGCTTTTTGTGGATACATTTCTTTGGTTTGCGAATTTTCCTAAAGAGGTGTACCAAATTAATCAATTGAATTGAGCTTTCCTTTTTTTCTCGGATGGTGAAGTCTTTGGTTATCCATCTTAGTAAGAGACAACCGAAACCTTTGTCTACTTGTTTGTGAAGTTATGTGCTCGACTGCCATTCTTCCTTTGCATGAAGCCTAGCTATCTAATATAGCCTCCCTAAATGATAGGATTTATCTTCTAATTCCTAATCCTTCCCTGCTTTCATAATATGTCAACAACCATGCTTATCCAAAAAAGAAAGAAGAAGAAAGGTTTGCGGTTGAGTGTTGAACGGATTTCGCCTAGTGTGCGATCTCCTGGTTTGATAGGTTCAGACTGTTGGATCGAACCCGAATTCATATATGTTGATTTAGGTAATTCCAGACCGTAGAGGATTCGACGGATCGTAAAACGAAGTCCTAGATACTCTGGAAATGCCAATCCTATGGCTAGGTTTACAATAACTGTCCGATCATGCGATTGTGATTAATCCGACTATCCGATTCAGACCAAACTCTCAGGACATGTGTCTTAGGCATATTGGAACCTTTAGGGACTTTCAGATTTGTGATAGGTCGTTGTGGGCCTTGCGGGTTCGGTTGACGAAGTTTAGGCGGTTTGACCCCTCGGTTGACCGTGAGTCTTCCGAGGCAGTTATACCCTTTGATAAGGGTTAGAATGACCATGTAAACGAGTCCTGACCAAGAATGAGTTATCTGAGTCATGTTACAGATTGAGTATAGATAGTTTTTTTATAGATTGTTAAATTGTGCATATATATTTGGCTTATTTACTGTAGCGCCCCCTGAAACTTCGGTCAAATCTCGCTTTGCCCCTCCAAACTCAAAATGACCCACTTTCATCCCTTGACCGAGATTTGATGATCCACTTTGCCCCTACCTTGAACTCCATCTAAAAGTCTGTTAACTTTTATGACGTGATAAGGGTGTTTTTGTAATTTCATACACATGAACATCATCCACCAATTAGGTGAGTGATGTGGCAAGTTGAGCCCACCTCCACATAGATAAAAATATAATTAAATATTCTAATAATTAAAATAAAATTAAATAAAAAACAATTCAAATAATTAAAACTACCCAGTACACAATCCAAACCCCTCCCACCCAGATCCCCCACCCCTTCCCCCCCCCCCCCCCCCCCCCCCCCCCCCCCCCCCCAAAACAACCCGACCACACTACACAACCACAAAATATAACATATATGGGTTTTATTTATTTATTTGGGTATATCTGAATCGGATTGGTTTGATTTTCGGGGCTTCTACGGGCTTGAAGGTGCTAATATGTGAGAGAGAACGAGAAAGGGGGGGAGCGGGGTGGGGTTGGGGAGGGGGCTGGGTTTCAAACAACCCAAATTTGAAGTTGGGTGTTAAGGTTGGTCAGAGATCGAGAGAGAGAGGGTTGTGATGATGATAGGGTTCTTTATTATTGAATCTGCAACCAACAAAAAAAATGAACTAAAAAATTTAATTTAGAAACAAAAACAAAAGCAACAGAGAGATGAAGTTAAAGAGTTTATGAAGATAGTGTTGGATGCTGGGTGGAAGATCAATAAGAAGATTGCTAAGATGGTTGTTGGGTTGTATATTTTTTTTTTCAAACCAAAATAATTGCGAAATCTAATTTAGAAGAAACAATATTTGATTCCACATCCGTCGAACTAAAACAGAAGAGGGCAAAAACCTAGCAAAATCACTTATACAACACACATCAAACAACTTTGAGTTTTGGTCTGGAGGTTTTTAGTCTATACAGGAGGCTACATCTTTTGAAACTCTCAGCATTTAAAACTTTGGCTTCCTTAGCTTCTCCAAACTTGAATAGATTAATTCTAACAGAGAATACAATACTGCCCTTATGCAATCCATTCTGAAATTCTAACAAGAAGAGGGCCAGCACCATGGACACAACAATCGGAAGAATAGGCTTATAAGATGCCGCGGATATCTCCCAACGGGAAAAATCTTGGGATGGTGGAGGAATTGGGGGAGCTATTTGTATATTTAATGGAGACCAATCAAGTCTCAGAAGTTTTGTTGCTGGGAGTGGCTATGGGTAATAATGGTGGATGAGGGGGTAGGGGAGGATGGCCATGGGTGGGTGGGAGTATTGGGGCTATTAGGGTGATGGGTAGAGTTTTTACTTATGTGAAAATATTTTTTATTTTTTATTTTTAACTTCTAATTATAAGAAAATTTAATTATATTTTTATCTATGTAGAGAAGGTGGTCTCCACTATCATGTCAGTCACCTAAATGGTGGATGATGTTCATGTGTACGAAATTACAAAAATACTCATACCACGTCATCAAAGTTAACAGACTTTTTGATTAAGTTGGTGGTATGGGGCAAAGTGGATCATCAAACCTTGGTCAATGGATGAAAGTTTGAAATTTTAAGTTTGGGGGGGCAAAGCGAGATTTGACCGAAGTTTCAGGGGGTGCTACAGTAAATAAGCTTATATATTTTAAGTAAGTGGAGAATCAATTTATCAGAAGGTTGATATAAAGGTTAGGAAATAGATTGTGAAATAAAGGAAAGTATTGATATAAGTTTGGGATACGGTTTTTCAAACCCACCACAAGGGTACCTCCTAGTTGCTTTGAAATAGTGTCATTTATAAATAATGCCTCACGTGTTTTGGGAACCCCTAAATCGTGCAGAGCGAGGAATGCAACTTGGCCTACGAGGATTGCGGCTCAGATAGAAGTAGCATTTTCGAGGCTTGCAAGGATTACGGCTCGGCCTGTGAGGATTGTGACTCGGATAGAAATGGTATCTCTGATGCCTGCGAGAATTGCGGCTCTGATAGAAGTGGTATCTCCGAGGCCTGCGAGGATTGTGGCTCGGCCTGCGGGGATTGCGGCTTGGATAGAAGTGATGTCTCCAAGGCCTGCAAGGATTGCTGTTCGAGTAGACTTGGTGTCTCCGAGGCCTATAAGGATGGAATTGACGGATCAGGAATGGGGGTACGCCTAGGTGGAGAGAATTTCAGTTTTGAGATGTTCTCAAACTAAAATAGAGGGAGTTCGGGGTATGACATATTTATATTTAGTATATGATTGATACGAGTATTGGGAAATTACAAAGTATTGCTTTAGAGTTGTAAAAATGATTGAGTGTAACACACACATGAGAATTCAGTTTGATTTGCAAAAGACATGGCAATGTGATGAACGAATAAGATACTCAATTACATTATTAAAGAGAAAGAATTACGTGTAGTTGATCCCTCAGTAAGGGTACGTAGGCAGCCTAATATTATAAGGTACAGCCACGAGTTGAAGTCTTTGAGATTGCTAATGTACTACTCATATTCTGAAAGTTGAGATGATTTTATTAGCAGAATGATATATTTGATTTGTTGAGGTCTGAGGCCATAATGATATGATGCTTGATTGCTTGGATATAATTTAATGCGTGTTGAATAGTTGGGTTATAACTGTATATGCTTGTTTGACAGGTGGAAGTTTAGGAGAAATGTTCAATTTACACAGGAGACTATGCCAAATTTTTTGCAGAAGTCAAACTTAAAAGAAATTGAATTTTGAATTGAGGGGCAATTTGGTCATTTGTGCCGGCACCTACCAGGTGTCGGACACGCACATGGTTCGACTCGGATTTCAAAGTGGAATTTGGATCAAGGCCTGTCACATTAAGTCTCATCCAAATAATTACGGTTGTACCTATTCCATTCCAAATCCATGAAATTTATTAGAAGCCAAAACAAAACGTTTATGCATTGAACTTATTAATGCTTTTAATTCAAATGCCCTATAAACTTTAGTGGCTCTTTATTTGCATCATCTTCACTCATCAAGAATTTGTGGGAGAATAATCATGAGGATTAGGACATTCTGCTTGGGTTCAATTGTTTTTTGCTCATCCTAATCCCAATTCTCAAAAAGAACAGCTGAGAGTCATTCAAGGATATTGATTGACAAAGAGACAAAAATAATCAAATATCTAGCTGTTGATTTTTATATTATTTTGGCATTGAAGAAAAATAATCCAAACCCAAAGGGGTTTTCTCACCACCACTTATCTGTTAGTGGTGAGTGGAAGAATTCTTTTCCAATTGTTATTCTTCAGATATCTCAAGTGGCCATCATCATGTCTTTCTATTACAAAATTGGGTAGAAAGAAAGATAGATTAACTACATAAAAGTACCCAATTTTTAGGGATTGTTTTAAATTAGTACCAAACCTTTTGAATTTTTAACAGGAATACCCGGCCTTTTGTAAAATATACAAATTAATCACTCCGTTAGTCAGATCGTTAGTGGAGGCGTTAAGTGTTTACGTGGTTGCTCTGATGTGGCTTTTTTTCCTGATATGGATACCACGTGGATTAAAAAATAAATAAAAACACTCCCTATTTTTTAAATTATTTTTAAAATTTAAAATTAAATACATAAATTATTAAAAAAACATAAACTTAAATAATTTAAAAATAATAATAATAAAAGGACTACCCCATCTCCCATCCTAACCAATATTCACCATACCCACCCATCCCCAACCCAAGCAGCACCCGACCACCAACCAACCACCACAGCCAGCTCTCTCTCTCTCTCTCTCTCTCTCTCTCTCAAAAACATAGCCCACCACCTTCGACGACGAGCCCAGCCGTCACCTCCATAGAGATAAATTTGTGGGTTATAGCGGGTGAAGAACTTGGCGACGAAGAGATGGTGTGGCCTTGGCAACGAACACGAAGACGACGAATCTAGAGTGAGGCTCGTCGGATCTAAAGAGAGGAAGGTTGGCTGGGGCTGCAGATGGGGATGGGGGTCGAATCTCTGTCAATCTCCATCTCTTTCTCTCTCTCTCTCTCTCTCTCTCTCTCTGTTTAGCAGATGTGGCTGGTTGCACTGCGAGGAAGGGGTGTGGTCGGCTAAGCTATGAACCCGTGGAGGAGGCATGGGTGCCTTGATAAATTTTTGGCACAGAGATGAGGTCATTTTCCCTTCTGTTTGGTAGGAGAAGAAAGTTTATGGATCGTGGGCGATGACTAGGTGGTGGAGAGTGCTCCACTACACCTCAAACCCAATCAGAATCCAATTCTGATAGTAAGGGCCAGTTTGGCATTGCTGTGCTGTGAAAATAATCGTTGTCAGATTTGCTGTGAGAGAAAGCAGTTTAGCGTTTGGTAAAATTTTTGTTAAAAGTGTTGTTGGTACTGATTTTACGCAAAATCAAAAAATGTTTGCTGCATAATCATTAAACTCAACACATCTTTGAAACTGATTCCTACATAATCAGAAAATGAAAGCACCTCATTAGCTGATTTCCCTTATAGCTTTCTCTTACAGCAATTTTTAACAATAAGTGATTTTTTCGCAATTTACCAACGGGTTGGGCTTCTCAAAATTTTAAAAAAATCACTTATCACCCCAAATAAGCAATGTCAAACTGGCACTAAGACCGCAACATGATCATCTTCAATTCTCCTGCCACATCAAACGATCACTCCCAAAACCGATTCTGATACATCATACAAGAAAGGATGCGGAAGTGCCTCCAAAGATAAAAAAAAATGTAATCAGAACCAAAGGAAATAATGAAGAAGATGCGTTATAGCAAGAAAATAATGAAGAAGATGATTATCTGGATGATGATGACATGGATCCTGATGCTAAATGGCCACTCATAGAGTCATGGCTCGAGGATGATGATGATATGGCAGATACACGTGAAAATGACAAATGCATACAACCGTATCTAGTATGAAATTAAGGGTTATTACCTAAATAATTTTTGGGAGGATGCATGTATTTTTGTATCCAATATTACCTACCTTGGCACAAGAGCTTAGGTTTTCGAGTTATGACATTGACTTATAAATATCATCTTATAGAAGAGAATTTATATCACAAAGAATTGTTAAGAAATTCTAGCGGTCATACTCTCTCTCTCTCTCTCTCTCTCTCTCATAATCTCTTATCACTATTCTTCTCTGTGGATACCTGAGAGGCTTCACATTTGTTGAGCAATTGAGTCTTTAAGGGTAACTTTGAGGATTTGAAGAGAAACTCAATTTGTGAAATAATAGGATTGAGATCCGCTCTCGTAATAAAGGTAATCAATCTTGAATTATTGTACTTGTTTACATATGTATATGTGTATCATTCACAACTATACCATTGGTTTGTGGAAAATGAATATTTTAAATTATCAATTTTATTTTTTTATTTTGTTTATTTTATTTTTCACTTTAGCAAACAAAATCCAACAATTTTGTAAATAAACCAAAACCATGCCTTCTTCGAAAGTGCCCTTCCTCAGTATTAATCATACCGAGCTACCAATAAAACGCATCCACTTTTTACTACAAACAATAGCCAACGGCCCTCTCATGCTATTAGTCAGTTTTTTTGTTTCCTGTTTTAGAGATGCTATTGATACTCTTAAAAATTCATCATGCACTCATAAATATATAGGGTAAATTGCTCTTTTTTGTTCGTTTTATACAAGTGATATGACGTCAAGTGCAAAGATAAATACTCTTTATCACTTGAGTTACAAGAATAAATTAGGCTTAAAAAAGGAGTATATAATTATTGAAGATTGAAATTCGAACATAGCACCTGATATTTGCTCTCAACGAGATCTCCTCTCTTTTTTAATTAATTTGTCTTTTGTACTTTACCCGTTTAATATTGTGTAAAATTGAAGATAAAAGAACTTAAATGTGTAGAATTAGAGCATCTTCAATAGCCTCTTCAACAATTTTGGGATGCTTAAATAAGTGAACTACATCATAAAAAAATCTCTCCAACAACCTTGTCAAACTCATTCATCAAAGATGTAACTAATTTATCTGACTGATAAGTTAACTTTAACTTTTCAAAACATTTAATTTAATTTAAAAAAAATAAAATCCACCTTAAAAATGTTCAGATAATAAATATATAAATATTTTTCACATATTTTCATATTTTTCATTATATTGCATTAATTAACTGAAGAGAATGTTGCAAGTTGCAACCAAACCTTTTCAAATTACCATATATTTTTTGACTTTTTTGAACTTCGAGAGAGAAGTAACTGTGCAGAGGTGAATGCAATTGACTTTGTACAAGGCAAGAAAAAGGTCTTCAACCACGTCAGCTTCGAGCTGCTGAAAAACGACTCTTTACCAGATAGAGAGAGACTTCGGGGAGAGAGAGAGAGAGAAAAAGGGAGGACTCGGATTTCTCGGGGGGACATAGAGAGATAGAGTGAGAAGAGATAGGCTGAGCGAGAGAGAGGCTCACAGAGCGAGCTAGCTCTTCAGGAGTCAAGGCTGGGTGAGGGGAAGAAGAAGAAGCTTCTTTGATGTGTTGGGGTGCCAATCTAAAGAGGAAGAAGAAGGCCTCTAATGTATTGAGGTCGGCGGTCTGGGCTGCCGATCTGTGTTGAATGGATAGTTTGGTAGAGATGCTCCAACGACATAGGGTGGCTGAAAAGGGTTTGAAGAAAGTGAAGGAGGTGATTCAGCTCTACAGTTATTATTTTCTTCCACTGAGTTCTGAGTGCTCTGTTATGTTTGATTCCTTTTGATTGTTATGTTTAGGTGTTAATTCGCTGGGTTTAGCTTAAAATTTGGGTAATTTAGGGTTAGGTTTTAAGAATTTACAACTCTGATTAGGGTTTGGTTGGAGGGATTTCTTGTTCTTTCTCTTCTTCATGTTCAATTTTGGTGAATTTCAGATTAAATTCGTGAAATTGTGGATTTTTTTATTTATTCATCCTATATTTCCACCCGATGTGTTGATTTTGACATATTTAGCCAATATCCGATGGGTTGCTAAAGTTTTTTTTTTTGGGCGAATTGGTAAAGTGTTTGTCTACCTCAATGTGCTTGGTCATGCTGCACTAGGTTATGAGCAATATTAGTTGGTGCTTTGTTGCCACAGTAGAACCTCATACGACTATAATGTGCTTGGTCATCGTTGTAATTTTTTTTTTCAGTACTCAGTAATATTGTGTGCTTAGTTTTTTAATGGAATTTCTTCTTTGTTCGTTTATTTTTTATTTTTATGCTTATTTATGTTTTTATTTGATGCTCTAACATGTTTCGTAATGTAGGAAACCAATTAATATCAACTTAAGTGGCTCAATTATCATGGAAGCATGCAATTGTGTCGAGCCACAATGGCCAGCTGATGAATTGCTGATGAAGTATCAGTACATTTCGGATTTTTTTATTGCACTTGCTTATTTCTCCATCCCTCTGGAGTTGATCTACTTTGTCAAGAAATCCGCAGTGTTTCCATACAGATGGGTCCTTGTTCAGTTTGGTGCTTTCATTGTATTGTGCGGAGCTACGCATCTTATCAACTTATGGACTTTTAGCATGCATTCAAAAACTGTGGCCATAGTAATGACCACTGCAAAGGTTTTAACTGCTGTGGTGTCATGTGCAACTGCCCTCATGCTTGTACATATTATTCCTGATTTATTGAGTGTTAAAACTAGGGAACTATTCTTGAAGAACAAGGCTGCAGAGCTCGATAGAGAAATGGGTCTTATTCGTACACAAGAGGAAACTGGTCGACATGTCAGGATGCTGACCCATGAGATCAGAAGCACTCTTGATAGGCATACTATACTTAAAACCACACTTGTCGAATTAGGTAGAACTTTGGCATTGGAAGAGTGTGCCTTGTGGATGCCGACACGTACTGGCTTAGAGCTTCAACTATCCTATACACTCCGTCAGCAGAATCCAGTAGGATATACTGTACCCATTCATCTTCCTGTGATCAATCAAGTATTTAGTAGCAACCGCGCTTTAAAAATATCTCCAAATTCTCCAGTGGCAAGAATGAGGCCACTTGCAGGAAAGCACATGCCAGGGGAGGTGGTTGCTGTTCGTGTCCCTCTCCTCCATCTCTCTAACTTCCAAATTAATGACTGGCCAGAGCTCTCAACGAAACGCTATGCTTTGATGGTCTTGATGCTTCCCTCTGATAGTGCAAGGCAATGGCATGTCCATGAGTTGGAACTGGTTGAAGTAGTTGCTGATCAGGTAACAAACCACAATGTGTATCTTTTGACATAATGTGTGATGACTTCCCCACATTTGGACCTGATTGGAAGCTTCCATTGGCTAATTGAGTTGCTATTAGGTTCTATTTTAATTTTTCTTGCTGATTTAGTTATGTTTTAAGAGCCAAGGGTGTACTCTGTAATTTTCCAAAATCTTTTTTGATGTGATGTGACTTAGTCCTTGTTATGGTTTCTTAGAGTTTTAGTTTAGTTTCAATACTTTCTGGTTTGGAATCCAAATCCTATTAAGTGATTGTATGTTTCGTGCGGAAATATGCGATGTGTAGAAAATTAGGGGTAACATAAGAAATTTTAAGTGAAAAATTGAAACAGGTACTAACGGAGTTATCAAGGATAGTATTGGCATCTGGTACTATGAAGTCGGACTTGATTCTTGAGGTGTCACCAGAACTAAGAAGTTGTTAGGGAAGTTTTAGTGTTGATTTAATAGAAGATCATTTGTTGTTATAAAGTTTTCTCACATAGAAGCTTCTGGTATGGTACATGGGTGATAATGCATGGATTGAGGTTAAGATTTGACCTAGGGTCAACCCTAACCAAGTGAAGATCCTATTTCGCAAGGTTGGAATCTCGTTCAGCTAATCCTTAGACAGTAACCTTTTGTTTAGCATGAAGTTGCATCAAATCTCAGGAAACTATCATATAATTTGTAGTTAATTGTTGCAAAGATGAACCTAGGAAATGAATTGCATTTTTGAGAAATATTGTTGTAATATAGAAGGAAGGTAATTAAACATAGAAAAACAACTTATAAATGTAAGGGAAAAAGGCAAAGTACTGGGCAGCGCTATGGGCTTCTGTTTCTCCTATCTTTAGGAATACATCCCTTCCAAACATTTTGCTTGATTGGAAGGTGGCAGTGTCTTGATTAGGATTGGTTTCTTCTCATAGTTGTAGATCTCTGTACAGTTTTCCTGTTTCTTTTTGTTATTGGTGGATTACCTGCCCACTTTTCTGTGTGGTTTGCTATGAAATAAAGTTTCTCCTTTTCAAAAATAAATAAATAAATAATAACGACATATTTCTTATGCGAGGATGTCCTTTACCTGTTTATTGCTTGCTGTAATAATGTATGGTTTTATTAATTATAATATAAAGAAGCAATAATTTATTTACTCTTACTGTTGAGTTTATTCAGGTGGCAGTTGCTCTGTCACATGCTGCAATATTAGAAGAGTCAATGAGGGCAAGGGATCTCCTTATGGAGCAAAATATTGCACTTGATCTGGCCAGGAGGGAAGCGGAAACTGCAATTCGTGCTCGCAATGATTTCTTGGCTGTTATGAACCATGAGATGAGAACTCCCATGCATGCAATTATTGCCCTTTCTTCCTTGCTGCAGGAAACTGAGTTGACACCTGAGCAGCGCCTGATGGTGGAAACAATCTTAAAGAGTAGTCACCTTTTGGCTACCCTCATAAATGATGTATTGGATCTTTCAAGGCTTGAAGATGGCAGCCTTCAGCTTGAGATAGCAACTTTTAACCTCCACTCTGTATTCAGAGAGGTTGGATTACGTGTTTCTGGCACGAGTTAATTTAGAATTCGTTGAAGCATTGCATTAATTTCTTTAGCAGTTTGCTTCAGTTAGATCTGTGGTTTTCAATTGCAGGTTCATAATTTGATTAAGCCTGTTGCATCTGTCAAAAAGCTATCGGTTTCATTAAATTTAGCCGCAGATTTGCCAGTACAAGCCGTAGGTGACGAAAAGCGCCTCATGCAAATTGTTCTAAATGTTGTTGGGAATGCTGTGAAGTTCTCCAAAGAAGGGAGCATCTCAATCACAGCTTTTGTTGCAAAATCAGAATCTTTAAGAGATTTCCGTGCTCCTGAGTTTTTTCCGGTGCAAAGTGATAATCACTTTTATCTGCGTGTACAGGTTTGTTTTTTCAAATGCTTGATTGAAATCATTCCATCTTTGGAAGACTATTCTATTGATTTGAAGTTAGTATTGTGTTTACATTCTCTTTGACCGCTGTAGGTAAAAGATTCGGGATCAGGAATAAATCAGCAGGATATTCCAAAGCTATTTACCAAATTTGCCCAAACTCAGTCATTAGCTACTCGAAATTCTGGTGGTAGCGGACTTGGCCTTGCAATTTGTAAGAGGTACTTTTGTGTTTTAACATATCCAGCTTGATTGAGTTCTAAAGTCCAATCAAACCACAAAACATAAAGGGGGACTTATAGTTTTGGTCCTATAGTCCGGCTCATTTTCTTTTTTGGTCCTCAATTCACTACACCCAAATGCATGAGGGACTGTTATTGAGCTGTGAAAGACAAACACAAATTACCATCATAACCCCACACATGAGCTTTGTGAGCATCGTGTGAAGATTCCATGAGTGTAACATTAGAAAATCTGATTTATTTTTTATTGCTAGCATTAACAAACTATAGGGATTTGATTGCAAAAAATTGAAACTATAGGGCCCAAATCGAAAAGTGGCCCAAAATACAGGGATTACAATTATAGTTTCCCCGGAAAAAAGAATGCAAAAAGTAAAACTGTGAATTGAGCGTGTATTAGCTATTCTACCTGCTTTTTAAGCATTTCAAGGTTTGTATAGTTTGAATCAATATTTCTAAGAGATATTTCAATAAAGATGCAGTTGTAATGCAATTTGTTTTGTATGATGTGATCAGGTTTGTAAATCTTATGGAGGGGCATATCTGGATTGAAAGTGAAGGTCCTGGAAAGGGATGCACTGCCATTTTCATTGTGAAACTTGGATTTGCAGAGCGTTCAAATGAATCTAAGCTGCCTTTTGTGACTAAGGTGCAAGCAAATCATGTACAAACGAACTTTCCAGGGTTGAAAGTCCTTGTCATGGATGATAACGGGTCAGTAACATAGCCACTTTACTACTCTCTTGATTTTTAGATGCAGTTGTCCCTCTTGCAATATTTATTTTCCAAAGGGTACGAGGCTATAATCAAGCTAAATTGGGTATGATTTACTCTATTCTTATCTTTCTGGGAGATGTAACAGATTGGACTTGGGAAATGATAGACCTGGACTTAGTGGGTGCATTAATTTGATATTTAGTAGTTCGTTGTTTCATAATGCCTGAATCGATAGTCGATGTCATTAACGGAGTAGGAGCTTGCATATGTTGGTGTAACCCTTGTAAATGAACAGGCTTTACATCTTATAGAAGATGCAGTTTCAGCTATTGGTGACGTTTATGCAATTCAAGGTCTAATGCCTCATTTTTCTTCTTTAATTTAATTCCCAATCACGACTCAACCACGAGTTTGTCCAAGATTATCCTACCATTAACTCTATAGTACTGAGGGCTCGTTTGGGAGTGCTTCTTCCCGAAACGCTTATGCCAGTTGCACTTATGCCAATAGCACTTCTAGAAAGAAGCAATTTGTTGTTTCCTTGTCACATATAAAAGTGCTTTTGTACTTTGTAGAAGTGCTTTTGATATTTTGTTGAGTGTTTGATTGCTAAAATAAAAAATGCTTGTAAGATTATTTTATATTAAGAGTACCAAATTATCATAAGACATTATAATCATAGTAGAACCACATATAAGATAAATACTTGAATATTTCAACATGCAATTTGAGAATGGTTTTTCCAGTTCCACTTTAGTTCAGCAAATAATCATAGTTTCTTTGATTCCCTAACAGTTAGCAGATTGAAATGTATAGAACCTTCTTGGTTGGCCCAGGAATTTCCAGACTCTATGATAACTTGTGTAGCAAATCTGCTGCTTCTAAAGAAAGCAAACGGTGAAAGAAATACATACTTTTGTAAAATCAATCAAAGTTTAACTGAAAGTATCTGTTATACTGCACATCTGTAATAGCCATATACAATCAACAAACAAAAACAACACGTGAATCTAGGCCCTGAAGCAATGGAAATAGTTTGAATTTTACATGAGAGTAAAAATCCATTAGTCAATTTCAATCACTACAAGTTATGAACAATTCATGAAAATCACCTAATATAAACCGTCAATTCAACGAAGACCACAACAAACTTTACTTATGAACCAAAACAAAAGCAAATTATCAAAGTCCAGGCATACAAATTAAAAACAAAAAACAAAAAGAGAAAACCCAAACCATGGAACAATAACAACAAAGGCAGAGAAGATCCATTCCAAAAAGAAATCATAGAAGAACAGGGGCCAATTGAGATAAGGAAAACCAAAAACAAAGAATACCCTGACTTATAAAAACATTAGGATACAATCTGCCAGAGGAGCAACGGTGGCCATGGCCAGATCTTCTACTTCTTCTTTATCCAAAATATTACTAAAAGCCCTTAGCCAATGGGTTCTACCACAGTGCTGGTTACTTCCCCCTTTCCCCCATGGCACCCCCATTCGAAACCCCATATGTGCATGTTGGTGCTTGAGCCCCTTCCCGTAGCCTATCGTTGTATCACAAAAAAAAAAAAAAAAAAAAAAAAAAAAAAAAACCCATAGTATACCCAGGTTCAGCCAAAAACGGAGAAGAGAAAGGGGGGAGGAGAGGTGAGGAGATAGAAAGAAGACGATCGGAGTCTGGGAGAGATAGAACAAAGAAGGGTATTTTGGCATTTCAAGAAAAAAAAAGAGGGGGAGGGGTGGGGGGGTGGGTATGTGCCACATTTTAAATTTGTCATTAAAGGAAGCCAAGTGTTTTTGCCCAGCAGCACTTCTAACAAGAAGAAACTCTCATGTGCTTCTTGAAAAACCACTCCGAGTGCTTTTGAAACTAACCCAAAGCACTTTACCATTTTTGCCGAACATCGTTATGAATGGACGGAAGTGCTTTTAGCATTTTCAAAAGCACTCCCAAATGAGCCTTGAATGTCCTAAAGCCAGAGTTACCTAATGTCCAGAATTTCCTGTCACAGTTTTCCGGTGAGCCATCCATTCTTTGGAAGTATAGCTTAACCTTAATGATCTTTTTGGATTAACTTTTGAGAGGGTGAATTTGTAGTTCTCTCTGTCTTCCCTTTTGCATGTCCCTTCAGACCTTTGTTGACTTAGTTATGAACAAGTCTTCACATATATTGAAATTAAGACAAGCAATATATATTGTCAGACATAGTAATTGAAAAATGGTGTGAAAACTCTGGAATTTTTTAGTCGTATTTGAGTTCAGTGAACTATATTGCAATTATGATTTTGGAATATGTATTGTCTCTGAGTGCTGTAATTTTTCTTCTTTTCTTTTCAATGGTTTAGGGTCAGCAGGTCAGTGACAAAGGGACTCCTTGTGCACCTGGGATGTGATGTAACAACTGTAAGCTCAATTGATGAGTTCTTGCACGTTATTTCGCAAGAGCACAAGGTGGTGTTTATGGATGTGTGCATGCCTGGAATTGATGGTTACGAACTTGCTGCCCGGATACATGAAAAGTTTACAAAACGTCATGAACGGCCAGTATTAGTAGCACTTACTGGAAATATAGACAAGATGACAAAGGAGAACTGCATGAGGGTTGGTATGGATGGAGTTATACTGAAACCTGTCTCAGTTGATAAAATGAGGAGTGTTTTATCGGAACTGTTGGAGCATCGAGTTTTATTTGAGGCTATGTAAGATATAGGAAATTGTTCTAGCGAAGGAAAGATTTCAATGGAAAATTGAAATGAAATCTTCCTCCGGTGATTTGCAGTATCGCATACACAGAACATGGCATTGTTGCAATACAATAAAAGCTGTAGCAATGTCACCAAAGAGAAGCAAGATGAACAATAACCCAATTGTGTAAACTGATGCCCCACATTTTGTTGGAAAAAAAAAATGTTGGTTGTCATTGCTTGCTACACTAATTTTTCTATATATGGATGATAGTGTTTCTCACCTGAATTCGGGCTGTTAATTTATTGAGTAGAAGGTTGTGGTGTTTTTTTTTCCGCAACTTGGAAGAAAAATATTTGGTTGTGGCTGACTGGCATTCTTCATTTTAGATGTGGAGCACCGTGAGATATATTTTTATTCATTGATTATAAATCTCACAAAATGCTATGAGAGGCAGAAACCATTGCTTGAAATTGTATGATAAAGCTCACTTTCGTCTCAGCTGGGCCTAATCTTCGTCATCAATTAGACTATAAACCATGCTCATTCACTTTCATGCTGAATAACAAAGAAAATCATGTGTTGTTGTAGCACTGTTGTTGTAGTGTTATTACATTGTTGTACTCTATTCCACTGTTGTTGGAACTTGGGAGTGTTACTGCAACGATTAGCATATTGATTATCATTGTGCAAAATATTTAGTCTTGATCAACAAATTACAAATACGTGAATATTTATAAAGAAAAAAGTGTTAAAATGAAGATATTTGAACTATTTATAACACTAGTTGAGGTTGAGTTATTAGGAAACATGTAATTATTGATTCTCTTAGCACAAGTACTATGCGCAAATCTTTGTATTCTTCGTGACATTCTTATGGTGATTTGACTACCTCCTCCAATTGTTTGGATTAATGTGAAGGCGTATGGCGCTGCTTGTGCGAACTCTGGTTTAGTTAGTTTTGGAGGTATTTTTCGAGATAATTTTGACAATTTTTTAAGTTGGTTTGCGGCTTCTCTTGGCCTTGCTTTTTCTTTTGAGGCTTAATTGCATACAATCATTCAAGTAGTGGATTTAGCTTGGGAAAAAGCTTGGATTTACTTGAGGATTGAATGCGACTCTAGCTGTTCTTTTGTTTCTTCTCCTTGTCTATGGCATTCGTGTCAAATGCATATTCGTGTCACCCATATTTTCCATAAGGGTAATCATGTTGCTGATTGTTTAGCTAATTTCGACATCGATCATTCCGAAATATTTTAGTAGGACTCTTATCACTCTTCTGCAACTTCGGTTTTTTCTTTTCCTTTTTCATAACCTTTCTTCTCGACCTTACTATAGGTTTTGATTGCTTTCTTCATTATTTATTTGAGATATTTAGTGATATACCCATTCTTAGCACTAATATTATAGATAAACTCCCCATCATTGAATTTCTATAAACAAACCCAAAAAAAACCCCAAAAATGACAACTGGCCTTATTGAATTTAATATTGATTATTAAATTACTTTAATGCCCTATTGAGTGTTTTGGGTATTTTTATGAGATTTTGGGGTTGGGTTTGTTTTAAGAAATTTATGGTAGTTTTGTAATTTATAAGAAGTTAAAGCCTTTTTGTTATGTTGTAAATGGGTTTTGGGTGTGTTTATAAAGTTCATTTCATATGAGGTATTTTATAATTTGGGCATTCATATTGGGTATATTAGTAAATCTCCCTATTTATTTTTGTTCATGTGCTCTCTTGAATTATTATTACTGATTCTGACGTTAGCGCTTTCTGGCTACTATATTTTTATGCAAAGTTTTGGTTCTTGTCCCCCGTTCTATTAGTTTTTTTATATCCAATATATATGAGGAGGGGCGGGGGGCTCTCAGGTCCTTTATTCTTTGGGATTAAAATGGATGGTTGTTTCCTGTGACTTTTACTGAGGAGTTAATCTCACCTAATTCATATTAATAATAATAATAATAATAAGATGAATTTTAAAGATACTTTAGAAGCTATCTCAGTGAAGCAATAACGGGAATCCAAATCGGGATGGGTCCGAATGGAGAATTCAAGTATCCATCTTATACTCCTAAGGCCATCTTCAGCCATGAGGGCCAAACCCAAATTTTAGGATTACAGCCTCAAAAACCTTCTCCAACCATGTAAAAGGGGGGGTGGTAATTTGGGTTAGATTGAAATCTTGGGTGGAATTTGGCCCAACTTTCCAGTCTGGGTGGAATTTCTGTGGGCCCCAAGTCGAAGCCAACTTGCGCAGCATGTGAAGGAATGGCAGGACAAAGCCAACTTGCTAGACACATGGAAGGCTCACATCAAAGGGACGTTGGAATCCAACAGCTCCCTTTGAAAACCAACACATTTCTTCTTCAAAATTGTACCTAGTCTGAGTTGCTTATGCATGAAAGCGCATAAGTAAAGAAGCTCATCGCATTCTTGGGATTCACCATATGACACATTTCTTAAATGAAACTCATGTTTTTATAAAGATTTCCTTTACTTCAAGAACCATCACACCAAATGCATGCACATCAGCCTTATCTATTAGTTGTCCTCTGACGAGATGCTCATGAGCCATTCTTATGGTTTGGTTCTTTAGATTGAGAAATATGTTTTTGCTTATATTGATGATGAGATTATAATGCAATATTTTAGAATATAAAAACTTGTTATGGATAAGTGTAGTTTGTAATGTTTTTTTTTCTTCCATGAATTATGAATGGTAATATTATTGTTTCATTTTTACGGCTCTCTTTTGTCTAAAAAGAAAATTTATGAGCTTTTACATGTCAACTTTTCGGAATAAAAATTCGTGAAATTGCCACATTAGTAGAAAAATGGAACCCACACTTGTCATGTCATCGTTTAATAGTTGTACTCACGGTGTTACGTTGTGTATGAGTTTTGTAGGATCTTACATAATTAACATTTAAAATTTGAAAGGTTTTACATAGTTAACCCTAAACTCTTCAAAAAAATAATTATAATAGAGTTTTTTTATAACAAAACAGTAGGATTCGTTGAAAGCAGGGCAAAAAACACAGAATACATACATTAAGTATACAGCCCCAAATGAAAGTGCTTGCAATACAGAAATTCTAAAAAACATAAACCAGTAGACACAAGCATTACAAGACAGGAAGAACAAAATACATGTTGAATCTCAGGAGCTCATCATTTAGATCACGGTAGTTTTCTTTAACTTTCACTTTGTGCTGTATCTAGGAAAAAACTCATCCTCAACCACAACTAACCGTACGGCTTTGTTCCTTTCACTAATTTCCTTTTGTCCCACACCCACACATTGACATGGGTGATGGACCCAAAGAACAGTCACCAACACTGTTCAACACGTCTCTTCTTTGTATTGCGTTTTCTTGATTGCATACGACTCGTCCCCTTCACTCCCATAAACGCATCAATCTTATGATGATATTGGAATTTTGATTGCGAACGCCATCATCATGCACATCCCATCATCATCCATCATCATACACCAATAATTCTTTCCCTACTCTTTCGCTGTTTTCGAGGAGGCGACTAATTTCCAAAATCTTGCTCATAAAGCACTTTTGTCTCTGCTCCCAATCTCTCTTCTTCCTTCCTATATCCTCTGCTTTTTTACTTCTTTTTCCTTTCCATTTCTTGGGTAGTTTTCTTTTTCTGTTGTCATTTTCATATTTAGTCTCTTAACCAACCGAGTGATGGGTGGTTAGCTCTCAGTCTCAGCCCCTAAAGAAACATGTGGGTTTCTTTCAAGTGTACATGCAGTTGAATAGCTCAGCAGCAAAGCAAAGCAAAGCAAGGGAAAGCAAAACAGAGTAGAGTTATATTTCCTCAGTCACTTTCTTCTTAATTCTGTAAGATTTTGTCACAAAGACCATCCATCCAGTTGATCCAAACAAAGCTGCTCTTCTTCATGAGAGATGAGATTTCTGAGCCATTCATTGCCCACTTCACAGTTCATGAAAATCTCTCACTTCCTCTCAGGTACTTAATCTTCTCTCTCACCTCTTTTAACTATAAATTGATATTGATTTCTGTTGTATTTCTTCATTCTCAAACTTTCCTTTCACTTTTTGAGCATTTTTACTTGCTTCATCATTCCATCAACAACAACAATGAATGTTTTAGGTATGAAAAAAAAACAAAAAACAAAAACAACAACAACAAAATCTGAATTTTTGTTGGAATTTGCAAAAATATAATTAATATTAGTTTTATTTTTGTTTGCTTAGTAGGCAATATAAAACCCAAATAGATTAATGAGTGACTTCAAAGGATAAATCTCTTCTTCTCTTTACACACTAACAAAAGACAATTATTAGCAATCCACAGCTACAGACAAAATTGACGTTTTAACGTCACCCTTAGTCTTAAGAATTGCTCATTATATTAATTGTAACTGTAAAGCTTTTATTTATTTATTTATTTATTTTATTCGTAGATATTATAGTATTTGTGGTTTAAATTAAAAGCTAAGTGTCGCAGACAATGATTTATGGGCGTTTTGTGATCAGCTGTTTCCAGGATGATCAGTCCACCCACCATCAAGTCCATGTACTAGCAATAATGGGGTGGTTGTGGATCCATTAAGCTAGATTTGCACAAGATTCCCTATTTTCTCCAATTGTCCGTTCTGCCCTTGCTATTTTCTGCAATGGCCACCCAAGTCCTACTTCCTTCCCTCCAGTTTTTGCTAGCGGCTTTCAAGTTGACCATTTTCCTCTCTTTGCTTTTCCCGCCTTGTATGCCTCTCAAGTTTGAAACTGAGGCCCTCCTTGATTTCAAAGGGCTGCTCAAAGACCCTTTGAGCTTTCTTGATTCCTGGAATGAGACAGCGGAGTCGCCTTGCGGTTTCTTTGGAGTTACTTGCGAATCGGGGAGAGTCAATGGAATTTCTCTTGACAACAAGAACCTCTCTGGTGAGATTTCACCCTCCGTTGGTGTGCTGGACAGCCTCACCACGCTTTCGCTGCCTTTGAACAACATTACAGGAAGGCTTCCGGCGCAACTCACTCGTTGTGGCAACCTTAGAGTATTAAATCTCACCGGCAATAAAATGATGGGAAGAATCCCAGATCTTTCTGCACTTGCAAACTTGAAAATTCTTGATCTTTCAGCAAACTCCTTCTCCGCGACGTTTCCATCTTGGGTGGCGAATCTGACAGGGTTGGTTTCTCTGGGCCTTGGGGAAAATGACTTTGATGAAGGTGAGATTCCTGAGGGGCTTGGAAACTTGAAGAACTTGACTTGGCTGTATCTGGTGGCTTCCCAGTTGAGAGGAGAGATTCCGGAATCTGTTTATGAAATGAAGGCATTGCGGACGTTGGGTATGTCAAAAAACAAGCTCTCTGGGAAGCTCTCTAAGTCAATTTCCAAGCTACAAAATCTACATAAGATTGAACTTTTTAATAATAATTTGACTGGAGAAATCCCACCGGAGCTTGCTAATCTCGCCCTTCTGCGCGAATTCGATATCTCTTCAAACAAATTTTATGGGAAACTGCCTTCGGTGATAGGAAATCTGAAGAATTTAGTGGTTTTTCAGTTATACGGAAACAATTTCTCTGGGGAATTTCCAGCTGGGTTTGGAGATATGGAACACCTTTCTGCAGTCTCAATTTATGGAAACAGATTTTCTGGGGAATTTCCCACAAATTTTGGCAGATTCTCACCTTTGGCAAGCATTGACATATCCGAAAATCTGTTTTCAGGTGGTTTCCCAAAGTTTCTTTGTGAACAAGGCAAGTTACAATTTTTGCTTGCTTTGGACAACAATTTTTCTGGGGAGCTGCCAGATTCTTATGCTCACTGTAAATCTCTAGAGAGATTCAGAGTCAATCAGAATCGTTTGTCTGGGAAAATTCCAACTGAGGTTTGGTCACTTCCGAACGCGAAAATTATCGATTTTAGTGATAACGACTTTAGCGGAGGGGTATCCCCCAGCATTGGGTTTTCAACCAGCTTGAATCAGTTGATATTGCAGAACAATAGATTCTCAGGTAATCTTCCACTGGAACTTGGGAAGCTGTCTACCTTGGAGAGGCTCTATTTGAGTAATAACAACTTCTCTGGTGACATACCTTCTGAAATTGGTGCGCTAAAGCAGCTGTCATCATTGCATCTTGAACAAAATTCTTTGACAGGACCAATACCATCAGAACTGGGAAATTGTGTTAGGTTGGTGGACATGAATCTTGCTTGGAATTCTTTAACTGGTAATATCCCCAGTACATTTTCACTGATAAGCTCTTTGAACTCTCTAAATCTCTCGGAAAATAAACTCACAGGTTCGATTCCAGAAAATTTGGTGAAATTGAAGCTAAGTTCTATAGATTTGTCAGGCAATCAGTTATCTGGAAGAGTACCGTCTGATCTTCTGACCATGGGAGGAGACAAAGCCTTCAATGGAAACAAGGGACTCTGCGTAGACCAATATTCCAGAAGCCGTACGAATTCTGGGATGAATATTTGCACTAAGAAGCCTAGTCAGAAAAAGGTGCTTGAAAATAAACTGGTTTTATTCTCTATTATAGCATCTGCATTGGTTGCTATTTTAGCTGGATTGCTGCTGGTCAGTTACAAGAACTTCAAGCTTGGTGAGGCTGACAGAGAAAATGATTTGGAAGGGGGGAAGGAAATAGATCCCAAATGGAAACTTGCATCTTTTCACCAATTGGAAATAGATGCAGATGAAATATGTGATCTGGAAGAAGAAAATTTGATTGGGAGTGGCAGTACAGGGAGAGTGTATCGCATAGATTTGAAGAAAGGTGGTGGTACAGTAGCTGTAAAGCAACTGTGGAAAGCAGATGGCATGAAGCTTTTGACTGCAGAGATGGACATTTTGGGAAAGATCAGGCACAGAAATATATTGAAGCTTTATGCTTGTTTAGTGAAGGGAGGATCTAGTCTTCTGGTGTTTGAGTACATGCCAAATGGTAATTTGTTTGAAGCTCTTCACAGACAGATTAAAGGTGCGCAGCCAGAATTGGATTGGTACCAGAGGTATAAGATTGCTTTGGGAGCAGCTAGGGGGATTTCTTATCTGCACCATGATTGTTCACCACCTATAATTCATAGAGATATAAAATCAACCAATATTCTGCTCGATAATGATCATGAGCCGAAAGTTGCTGATTTTGGGGTTGCAAAGATTGCAGAGAACTCTCAGAAGGGTTCTGATTACAGCTCCTTGGCTGGCACGCATGGGTATATTGCTCCTGGTAAGTTTCAAACCTATAAGGCATATCCTGTTTCTTATTAACATCATTAATTCACGTGATTATTATATATTAATATGTTATTATTTGAAACTATTAATTTGTAATGTCATTTAGCTTTGCTATTCTTGAAGCTGTTCCTTTTTTTGACGTTTTTTTACAGCTCTAGAATTTTGATCTGCTCAAAAGATCTGCATGTTGCTTTCTTTTTTCTATCAGTAATTCACTTAAGATTTTTCTCACAATCTTGTGCTTAGAGTAAAGATTTTCAACCAATCAATTTCAGATTTGTCCCTGTATCAAGTTGAGCTTTAAACATAGCAATATAATCTTTGTCGTACACTCACCGCTGTAAAAGAGTTTTCATTTTGATTAATTAGGTCTCCTATAGTTCAAGAATGAAAGATCTGTAGATAATCATGAACACCACTCCTGGAGCTTCCAGCAGTAGGGCATACAATTTTCATGATCTTGCTTATCCTCATTGTTGTATAATGTTTATAGGTTTAATGCCCTAATGCTCAGTACACTTATACTAATCTCTTAATTTCTTTACTTTTGATTAAGATCTAGGAATTTAAATTCCAAATATTGGAGTTTTATTGTTGTCCTCTTAAAACATTTCCTTGGTATCGTCTGGTTGGTACATGACACTTTACATTCACGTACTCGTGCGTCTAAGCCTCCATTCATGCTTAAAACATGAATTCTTCTTCAGGAGCAATGCAGAGTTATCAAATTATTAAGTAAGTAGATACTAATTTAGTTATCAGAATTTCAAGTAATAAATAGTTTTGCATTTAGATTCAGAGATTTGGATGCCTAACAGTAGACTTTTGGAAACAAGACATCATATGTAGTTTTGCATTCTAATTAGTGTCTGTAAGAAATCCATGACTTGTTGTTTCCTTTCTTACGAGTTGGTTACATGTCTGTCAAAATCCGCTGTACGTCCTTCTGCGTTTAAAATTGTTTCTACGAATTTGTATTCAAAATTTTTAACTGGTTTCCTTTGCAGAGCTGGCATATACTCCTAAAGTCACCGAAAAATGCGATGTATATAGCTTCGGTGTTGTGCTGCTGGAGCTAGTAACTGGTAGGAGACCGATCGAAGAGGACTACGGGGAAGGAAAAGATATTGTTTACTGGGTTTCGACTAACCTCAGTGACCGTGAAAATGTTGTTAAAATTCTAGATGATAAAGTGGCAAATGAATCTGTCCAGGATGACATGATCAAGGTCTTGAAGGTTGCTGTTCTTTGTACTACCAAGCTACCATCCTTGCGCCCTACGATGCGGGACGTTATCAAGATGCTTACTGATGCTGATCCCAGCACTTTCAGGTCTCCAAAGAGCAACTCTGACAAAAATGGGAAGGATTTCACCAGTCATGAGTCACTTATTTAGCAGTAGCAATTTCAAGGTTAAAAAGCTTCATACAAGTGTTAATTTCTTTACAAGGCTTGTGATGTGTGTAAGTGAAGAATTTAAAATAAAATGCTCATTCAATGCACTGTTAAATGTAAGATCACTATGCAATGGAAATAGACGCTTGAATTAACCAATTTTGTGGGGAAAAAGTAAATTAAAATGAAATGTGAGTACAAGCAAAACATCATCCAGAAGATTCTGAATAATTTGTCACAGAAATCAAGAGAATCAAAATGATGATAAAGTTGTTCAAGTTGAGGATGTTATTCAGATTCTGAATGACCATCACAGTTGGTAACGGCTCAAAATGATGACGGATGTTGCTAGGCAAAGGTTGGAAGTCACTGGGAATTTTTAGATCTATCACGTGATTATTTTTTGTCAAAGTTTTGCACTCAAAACTCTTCATAAAGCACCTACTGTTAGATTCGAGACAATTTCGCCACTGGACCAATTCTCTCAAGAATCTGATAAGGGCCATAGTAGCGCGGGACAACTTGTGACGCGGTGCTCAACGGCGGTTTGGTGGTATGGCTGAAGACGCAAATAAACCCAATCCCCTATTGCAAATTCGCGTTATGTCCGGTTCTTATTAGCATACACACGCATACGATCTTGCGCAGCTTGTAGATTAACACGGAGTTGCTTAAGTAGAGCATCTCGGTCTTGGAGGCCGGAATCAACATCAGCTACAGCAGTCGAACTATGCATGCGAGAATAGTGGGAAGTTCCTGCGCACAAAGAGGGTGGTCTTTCTAATTTCTTTTAATTAATGGTATAGCCGGGCGGCTAAACTTCGTAAATATATAATACATTAAAAGAGTATAGCAGCTCGGCTGTACTAGGGTTTTCTTTAATTTCTTTAAATAAATAGTATAGCCGGACTGCTATACTTTGGGTCTTCTTAAATTTCTTTTAATCAATAGTATAGCCGACCGGCTATACGCAGGCCCTTCTTGAATTTTTTTTTAAATAGTATCGCCGGGCGGCTAAACTTCGTAAATAGAATATATTTAAAGAGTATAGCCATTCGGCTGTCCTTGGGGTTTTCTTTAATTTATTTTAATAAATAGTATAGCCGACCGGCTATACTCATGTCTTTTTTAAAAAATCGTATAGCCTTGCTGCTAGACTTCGTAAATATAATATATTTAAAGCGTATAGCCGCGCGGCTCTACTCGGGTTTTCTTTAATTTCTTTTGATAAATAGTATAGCCGAACGGCCATACTCTGGGTCTTTTTAAATTTCTTTAATTCAATAGTATCGCCGCCCGGCTATACCTAGGTTCTATTTTGAATTTTTAAAAAAATAGGATAGCCGCGCGGCTGTACTCGGGGTTTCTTTAATTTCTTTTAATAAATAGTATAGCCGGGTGGCTATAATGTGTAAATATAATATTTTTACCAAGTATAGCCGACCAGCTATACCCGGTCCTTTTTTTTAATGGGAGATTCACTATTATACCTAATATAGAGGCCCAAATTATAAAAATACCCCATATGAAATAGACTTTATAAACACACCCAAAACCTATTTATAACATAACAAATACACTTTTAATTTCTTATAAATTACAAAACTGCCATCAATTTCTTAAAACCAAGGATTAAAATATCGGCCGTGCAGATAATATCGGGCCTCCAATTTACGGATATTTCAAGGAATATATCGTTATCGTTTTGGGTATCGGGAAAAATCAACAAAAATGACAGATATAGGCATTGAAACACATAATTTTGGTGTAAAACTTTCATAGATGTTATGTACATTTCAATGAATGTATTGAACAAATAAAACTCAAAATTTACTAATAATAAGATATATATATGATGAAATATAAGTGGTATGTAATACGTGTTAATGAAAAGTTTGAAAATAAAAAGTTGATTAGAATGAATAAACCATGCATAAATCCATAGTTTATTTGAACATTGGATTACAATTTAGATGAGTGTCCAACTACATAAATGAAGAGCTCCTATGAGGTTCAAACAATGTGGAACAACCATCTAGATTCATACAATAATCATACCAAGTCATGTAACCCGAGTAGTTTGTAAGCTATGTTTGAACATGGTGCACATATGTCTCTCTTGAGCTCCCTACTGTCCTCCCATATATGGGATAGTTAGGATTAACCCAACTAGTAGGTCCATAATCTGTTTCATCATCTTGAGCTCCATATCTAGTTCCACTATAATCAGACATGACATAACCATAGCCATCATAAGATTCATTTGAGTTAGTACTAGGTCTAGATTCTTTTGATGCATACTCTAAAACAGGCATACTCCAAAACATCTTTTGAATTGAATATTGCCAAAAGCCTTCACACATATATCTAATCACTGCACATACAATTTCAATTTGCTTCAAAACTTTTGAATTTTTTTGGGTTTTGTTATGGGTATTGGGAAATATCGGAAATATCGGCAAAATATCAGGGATATCGCACTTATCGGGGAAGATATGGCCTTACCCCCCAATATCGGTGTCGACAGTTCAAAATATCGATATATCGGTGTATCGGCCGATATTTCAATCCTTGCTTAAAACAAGCTCAACCCCAAAATCTCATAAAATACCCAAAACACTGAATAGGCATCAAAGTAATTTAATATTCAATATTAAATTCAATAAGGCCAGTTGTTATTTTTTAGGTTTTTTTTGGGTTTGTTTATAGAAATTTAATGGTGTAGGGTTTATTTATAATATTAGTGCTAAGAATGGGTATATCACTAAATATCTCTTTTTTTAATTTCTTTTAATAAATAGTATAGCCGCCCGGCTACACTCGGGGTTTTAATTTCTTTCACTAATTATTATAGCCGCGCGGCTAGACTCGGGCCTTTTTTTATTTTCTTTTAATAAATTGTCAAAAGGTTCTATTTTCTTTATTTTCTTGGCATCCAAACACATAATACAGTAGAAGAGGGGAGTAGGCAGGCAGCTAGGTTAGTTTTAGTTACTAATTCTGTTTAGAGTTAAGTCTAACTCCAGAGATTGTAACAGTTGTGAGGAATTCCATATATGGTTTTTCTTTTCGTTCATCTTCTTCTTCATTTTCTTCATCATCCTGTTCGTTTCTCTCTGATCGGATACTCGCAGACACAGGCGCCAGAGGCATAATCGGAAGCATTAAGGTTTGTTATTGTGCTTAATTTCTTTTCTTCTTTATTTATAAATAAAATAAAATTGAATTTGATTGTTAGGGTTCTTGTTATAGGAGGAGAGCTGTCAAGAAATTAGATATTTCTGTTGACTCTGAGAGAGTAGGTTGAGTGTTGAACACAAATTGAAATGACCCCAAATTCTAACCCTAAACCCAAGCTTTCAACAACCACCCCATACATCCCACCGGAGCTTGTGTTCGACGTTCTTTTACGGCTTACGCCCAAGGATTTGATGTGATTCATTTGTGTTTGCGAAGCTTGGAATGCCATCACCAACGCTCCATCCAAACCAGCTCTTTTTGCTCCCTTTTAATTCATTCAAACAATCGGCGCACAAATTTCGTCTCATTCCCATTTTACGACAACGATAGCATCGCCAAGATAGCCATCAAACTTGAGCTGCCCTTGAGACACCGTCGCAGTTGTACTGACAGAGCGGGTTACTGTCATGGTTTACTATGCATTGCAAACAACAATAAAAAAGATGTTGCTTTATGGAATCCCTTCATTCAGAGGTTCAAGAGAATCTCATTCTCACTCTCTGAGATAATGGAAAGTGAAGTTGCCAGGCTTGGGTTCGGGTATAATTCTGCTACTGATGACTACAAAGTTGTTAGGATTATGGAGTTTCGTACTTCTAATGGTTTTTGTTCTTCTGAAGTGAAGGTTTATGGCCTAAAATCCAACTCATGGAAAAGGGTCCAGAACTTACCTTCCAATCATCGTTATTTTGGTTCTTATATTCACTGTTTGAACAGTGCTCTGCATTGGCTTACCAATCCTGATTTGGGTAACACATTCATAATTCTAACCCTTGATCTTGTGAGTGAGAAATATCACGAATTTCCCACCCCGGAGGACGTTATGCATGCTTTTCCTCTGCCGGGTTTGACTGTCTTGGGAGGCTGCTTATGTTTTATTGTTAATAATAAGGCTGAAAGTCATGTTTGGGCTATGAAGGAATATTGAGTGACAAAATCTTGGGTGATGCTTATTTTTTTTAAAAAAATTAATGAGAGCGATGTTCCTTGGATATTTGCTGTTTGCACACCTTTGAGGTTTTGAAGAATAACTATTTTGAACCTCCTGACAGCTTTGACAAGATTTCTTGGTATGATATGGAGAAAAAGAGAAGTGAACCAGTGAAAAAAGTCATGGTGTTCGGTGTGACTTTAATGCAATTATTTTTTAGGGGAATCTCCAACTTGGGTTGTTTTATTTTTTCGGTATAAGAAGTTAGGGAAATGGGGAACAAGAAAATGACAATACCACCATTGAAATGTAAGCTAATAGAATTTGTGGTTTCTGGTAAGCTTTGCACAAGCATTTTATTTCTTGTAGTTGGGTTAGCCTTACTCAAACGATCATGGATAGTCCTGGAATGTAGCGTACTTGGTTCAAGTTGGGCTAGTTTGTCAGATGTCTTGAATGTTTAATGTTTTTAGATGTTTGTTATGTTTTACATCACATCCTTTAAAGAGTTATTGAGTGTAGATTAAAATTTCCTACATGATTTATAATCTAAGTTGAGTTTCGATGTGAGGTTTAGAAAAGGACATAGAATCTGTGGCATCTAGTTCTCCTCCAATCCCATGCCCCATTCCTGCATAATTAACTGTACTTCTGAATGATGTGAAGCTATTGGCGGTGATGACAATAATGAACAATTATAATTGATAAATATTAGTAATTGAGTGCTTTCATGAAATCTTCAATATCTTCAGCTCTCATGTTGTTTTGATACTATTTAGTGCTTCTTCTGTTGATAAATTTTCAAACTGCCTGATGCACCATTCTGATATTATTGCAGGTAAGCAGAAATAATTACTGAGGAAAAAAAAGAGGCTTCTACATGTCGAAATGGAATGGAACTACATTGATTGATCCCTGCAGTACTTTTTTTTTTGGATAACCATGTCCGGGTTTTATACTTTTACCATATCAAGTGCTATACAATGTTTTGCTGCTTGGTTCGACTTTTTTGAACATGGACGTTGAGATTTTTCTAGTCATTCATTACCATATGGAAAAAATACCATGTAGATTCATCACTGCTTATGTTTGTAACTTTAGTCGTTCTCTTTTTTCGTTTGTTGCCCTCTTTTCTCATCTCAGCTGTAGGTTCCCTCCTTAGTCTTCTTCCATCTCATCTCAGCCGTTTTGTGCTTTATGCGTACCTTAGGGGTTCAAACATGCAATGAGGTACATATTCGAATTCTTGAACTGCATCTGCATGGAGGAGGTGGTAGACCTTTCAATTTGATTGAAACCTTTAGTTTAGTAAGGATTGCACTTTGCAGTCTTCTAAAAGTTAGTCAAGTTGTAAACCATTATTCAGCTCAAGAACGTAATTTTTCATACCTTCCGATCAAGACATGCTAATAGGATTTGTGGTTGGAGCATTTCATTTACTGGGCAGGATTATCCTTTTGATGCTTGATCCGGAGTGTCGGCAATTATATAATTTGAAACTACTTTTTATAAGTGCTTGGGATATTATAATAGGGAAATATTTGTCTCCTTCTCTGGACTGAGTCGTCATATCATATGACCTTTCTCCGTATCTAATTTCTTTGGAAGATTCGATAGTAATTCGTGTCCAATTTTCTGCATGGTTAGTCTTTGGGATAAGTATTATTTAATTTTTGAAGAGATTTTTTTATTGTACTAAAAAGCATTAACTATATAGATATTTTCTTGACAATATGCCAACGTTTTGTTAAAAGAAAATAGCATGAACTCCATTAGGACCTGGTGGGGCTTTTAAAGATACAATATATTTAATTGATGTATGAATTTCTTGTGTAAGAAAGGGAGCTAGTTAATTTAATATTATCTTGTTCTGACTTACAATATACTATCGGATTATTATAAAAAGAAGATAAAATTTCATTTTTAGAAGAGATATGATCCATACTTTTTGGGGGTCATGTCCGTGTTTTGATTCTTCCACCTTTTAACTCAACCTGTCATGTTTGAGTTGAGCAATTTTTTTCTCTTTCCATTTAGCGATATTGGAAAAGGGAAAATCGAAGATAAAATATCGGGTGTGAAGATAAATACTCTTAATCATTTAAGTTATAATGCTTGCGCTGAGCTAATTTTTCATAAAACGTGAGACAACACAAGCCCACAAAATCACGATCCATTTTCGAGTTCAGTTCGTTGGTGCTATTAGATTTACTTTCCTGCTTGGAGTAGTAAGCTAGTAAGTAAGATTATATAAATACGTACTTTGTAACTCAGTAGACAGTAGAAGAGAGGTCAATTAGTTTGTTTGAGTCTTTGACCCACACTCACACGCTCTCTCTCTCTCTCTCTCTCTACCTTTTATTTTCAGAGGACTTGGTCTTTGGTCTTCAAAAACTGTATCAAAGTTAGGGACTCCCAAAGCGTGTAATCTGGTCTTTTTCTTTGGCCACCTTCAACACGTTTAAATTGGTCCCAAAAAACCACCATTGTTCAAAAACTCCATCTCTCATTCTTCCCCATCTCTCTCTTCCTCTCCACCATGAAATTTTCTGCACCCACCAATTATTTGATAAAATTTCTCTATGGCTGCCTTTTGGTACAATAGCATCTTTCTGATCCTCAGCTTTTCCTTGGTTTCATTCTTTCCATGTTGCATTTATTCACTCTCCACTCTAGCAATCTCTGAGACTTCAAATCAAACAATAGTCTGTGCGCTCATACGTCCCAACAACCAGACTTCCTTTCTCAATTGTACTAGTTTTCCTAGTGGATTTCCTGTCCACAAGATTGCTTCTTCTTCCTTCACTGGTATAGTTGCTGGAGATGGGTTTTTATGCTCGTTGAGGTCCCCGTCTTCTTCCCCCAATACTTCAATTTTGAGGTGCTGGAGGTTCTCTGCCAATGGTACTAACATGCCCCCCCAAGCGTATCTACCGCTTCGACCGAAAAAAAGGAAAGCCTATCTACCGCGGTCCGGCTCTCAAACAGCTTGTTGCTGGAAATTCCCATGTATGCGGCCTTGTTAATGGGAGTACTAGCCGCCTCGAATGCTGGCAATGGCACAGATTCAATATGAATCGATACATCCATGACTTCTCAAGCATCGCCGTGGGAGAGAATTTTGTATGCGGGGTATCAAAAATTGGGAAAGTTACTTGCTTAGGAAGCAATATTAAAGTGGTTGGAACTGAGCCTAGCTGGAATTGCAGTGCTGTAAGTGCAGGGTTCAATCATGCTTGTGCCATCTCATCGGAGACTGGTGGTTTGCATTGTTGGGGAGATATGAAGGGTAAGAAACCACAAGAGAAATTCACATCTCTGGCCTTGGGAGAGAACCGCAGTTGTGCTCTCAGGACTAATGGAACAATTGTTTGCTGGGGTGAAAATAACTTCAGCTTGCCTGTGGCTCTGCAAGAGACTTATTTCGTAGCAATTGAAGCAAAACGAAGTGTCTTCTGCGGAGTTTTGTCATCTAATTTTTCCTTGTATTGCTGGGGCAACCCAATTTTTGATGCCTCAAACCATTTCATGGTGTTCGAGAGTGACGTGCAGCCAGGGCCGTGTACAAGGGAGTGCCCATCAGGGAGCAATGCATTACCAGGCTACGGTAGATTTTGTAAACAAGGATATGTTTGCCAACCCCAACTACCAGAGATCGAAAAGTCCTCATCATCATCAGGGAGTAAATGGAGCAAGAAAATGGTGGCTTTTCTTGTAGTGGGGTGTGTCGGATCCTTAGCTTTCGTTTTGGTATGTTGTTTCTTGGTGTTCAAGTTTTGCAAAATTAGAGGAAGCCGCATTCATGACTCGGGCCCCTTGGAGGTGACCCAGTTACAAGGTCATCATAGTAATCAAGGCACCGCTGCTGCAGCTGTAGTGGCAGGGCAGCCGGTGTTGGAGAAGCGGCTGAGCCATGTGGTGAGCATGGGTGCCAATGGGGCTTCTTTGGAGGAATTTTCATTGGAAGAACTTCTAGAAGCCACTTCCAACTTCTCCGAAGAACACAAAATCGGAACAGGCAGCTATGGCTCAGTCTACTACGCTAGATTAACTGACGGCCGCCAAGTGGCCATCAAGCGCGCCGAGACCTCAGCCTCCTCCTCCTACGTCGGTGGACACGCAAGGCGCCAGGAGGACAAAGACAACGCTTTCGTCAACGAGCTCGAATCCCTCTCCCGCCTCAACCACAAGAACTTAGTCCGCTTGCTCGGCTTTTTCGAAGACACAAAAGAGCGCATTTTGGTGTACGAGTACATGAACAACGCCACTCTCCACGACCATCTCCACAAGCTCGTACACTCCCCTCTAGTCTCATGGGCCGCGCGCATCAACGTGGCACTCGACGCAGCCCGAGGCGTTGAGTACCTCCACATGTACGCAGTCCCACCAGTCATACACCGTGACATCAAGTCGTCCAACATATTACTGGACGACACATTGCACGCCAAGGTGTCGGACTTCGGGCTATCCTTGATGGGCCCAGAGGACGACGAGTCGCACCTCTCACTCCGGGCAGCCGGTACATTCGGGTACATGGACCCGGAGTACTATCGGCTGCAACAGCTGACGACGAAGAGTGACGTGTACAGCTTTGGAGTGGTGTTGCTAGAGCTGTTGTCGGGTTACAACGCAATTCACAAGAATGAAAACGGGGTGCCAAGAAACGTTGTGGATTTTGTGGTGCCGTACATTGTGAACGATGAGATCCATCGGATATTGGACCCGAAAATGCCCCCCCCGAATCCGTTTGAGATCGAGGCCGTGGCATACGTTGGGTACTTGGCGGCGGATTGTGTAAGTTTGGAAGGTAGGGACAGGCCATCCATGACTGACATAGTGAGTAGCTTGGAAAGAGCGTTGAGTTTTTGCTTGGCAAGCGTTTCTCGCTCTTCTTCCACGACTCGGTCTTCCACGTAGCTTCCACGCCATATGAAATGGTCAATTTTTTGTAGAGCAATTTTTTTTAAATTCTTTGTAATGCATATATTGATTTTTTTTGCTCATTAGTCAAGGCAAACTCTGTATATACCCCACACAAAAAGTGTGCATGTAAATTTCAACTTATAATTTTCTCTTCTTTCTTCGGCCAAACCAATTTTTCTTTTCTTCAACTTGGTCTTGGTTTCATTCAACTCTTTTGGCTTTGATATTTTCCTTCAAGAACAAAAGTTCAATTGGAGGAAGTCTTTAGATTGCGAAGTCAATAAAGCACCAAATATACTGTCAGCAAGAAATATGTAATAATAATAATAATAAATTGAAAAAAAAAATCCCATATCTTTATATTTTATAATACATGAAGACACCATCCATTACAACAATATCTTTATAATACCTAAAGAAATACTAAAAAATAAACCATATTATCGTACTATATTGTGCGTCACCTTTCTAGAAAAGGTAAGATCTTTCAACACAAGTAGGTTGCACTTCTATTAAAGATGTGATACGTATTCAGACACAATAATATGGTCTCCTGACAATTTTCCTCGTGAGAAAAGCCACGTGACCGTAGGTGTTGATCCCATGTTTCCATTCTGTAGAACACGTGTAGCTAAAGTTCGTTGTTCCTAGAATCATTAGTCTGTCACCATGACCAACTCTCATAATGGTTTTGCCATAATTTAATTAAAAAACCCCAAGCCATCAAACTTAGCAAACTTTACACTCTCTCTCTCTTCCCAATATAGGAACTCAAATTTACATTTTTTGACCTCATGCAGTGAGCACCCCCCTGAAGGGGCGTTGCTACCATGACTCTTGGGTCACCGGCGCTAACATGGTAGATGGGGGCTACAATTGCAGCATCAGCCTAATGCTCAAAACAAAATAGGAATATATGCTTACAAGCCTAAGTCGAAAGCCACACAGGAGCTGGTCCTTGCAACAAATCGAGTAAGCATATACTACTACAAAATTCAATGCACAATATTTTCTAATTTGCCATTATAAATAAATAAATACAATTGTAATCCCATACCCATACTGAGAAGGGCAGTTTAAGCTAATGTGTATGCACTGCAAGTAACTGACACAGCACAAAAGTAACTATTTTTCCCTTTTGGCAGACCAGGACATGCACAAGTTCTCTTCTCCTCCGCAGTAGGTTGCAATCGCAGCCAAACAATCAAATTGTGCACAAATTATTGACTTAACTTTTCTATAACACTTGTAAAAATGGGAGCCTAAACCATTCTCTACACCTATGCTGCCAGAGATTCTGAAGTAGCCTGTCTTTTATCAAGTAGTTGGGTGAGCGCACCGTCAATTTGGGTAAACACATCCTCCTTGTTAACACTTCCATCAACCTGAAGAAAACAAAACGACTCTCTCTAAGTTAGATACAGTGAATAAAAGAGAACCAATCAAATCAATATCATATTTTCATCATACAGGTATGGAAAGTTCTTTCCATCTCATAATTATCCTAATTTGCTTTTAAGTTTATAAAGAATGTCAGTAATGACCTGCATAAGAGCCTCAGAAACCCAAGCACATTATACATCTACAGATGATTATGATATAATCATTCATGCTTAACTTATGTCCATATTTCTATTCTAGGACCCTTCAATTGATGACATCGTGATACCACATAACATTTTAGCTTGCTTGGAGAAAGACAGTTTAGTTGTGGACTTTTTTCTCCCAAGGAAGAAGAAATGGTATGTGACCTAAATGTGGACCTTGCTACTAGGCTTAACTCATGGAACATGCCTTGAGCAAATTTATTAAGACAAGAAAAGATAACACAAGAAACTTTAGCTTTGAAAATTATTAGTAATCAAGTCACTGCAAAAAGTGCTGACTAGTAAGGGTAAAACCGACTAAACATCAGAGTCTTGCTGGTATGGTGGACTACTCAGGTGCAAATATGCTATTACGTATTTGAACAATTAGGACTAGAGTAATATGAAAAATGTAAGCAAGACTCTTCAAGCACACTAACAGTTAATAAATTGAGGGAAAAAGTTTATAATAAATTATAAATATATAAAATTAAAAAAGAATAAGAAAATGAGTAACCTATATGGGGCATTAGTAAAAAGTTTGCTGAAGTAAAGTTAAATTACCCCAAACTACTACAGAATTGGTCTATTAATGCTCATGTAAAAAAGAAACAAAAAGAAAGCTGGGCTTATTATGAGCTTCTTCTTAAGTTTTAACAACTTGGGATTATTAACACATCAAATCGAGGGAACATAGTTGGACTTCATTTTAAAACAAAAACAAAAATTGGCTTTCTTTTATAAAACAAATCAAGCTCCCAGTTAACAAAGATTTGGCTGTGTCATAAAGAAGTTTTGAGCCTGATGAGAAACGAGTTGCATAGCCAACAATATATCAAGAGACCAAATAAATTATCATATTGATGGCAGAGCACAGTTGTTTTGCGTACAAGATGGGTAGGTCTGGGGTTAATGGTAGGCGTGCAAGAGTTGCAATTTGGGGTTTGGATGTGGTGAAGTTGCAGATAATAGGTCTAAGAATGAATTTGAGTTTGGATCAGTAGAACTGAAATTGGATGAGCTCCAGCAGCAAGACCCAATAAATTTAAAATTAACAATAATGTGATAAATCATCATTGAGAAGTAAAATTCTGAAGGTAATTTCCAGTCCCTAGGTGTTTCAGACAATCCAAAATTCAACCATGTAAGGGCTTCCCTTTAGTAAAAGTACATCAAAGAACAAAGAAGATGTCAGCCATTTATTTTTAGAGGATTTGTTTGCATGGATGCTTTACTTCAACCAGTCCAAGGATGAAGATATGGGCCATGAGGATAATAGAGACACTCAAGTTTACAGAGGTATCGACGGAATTCTGATATTGGTGACTGAATGGAAACAATTGCTACTTGGTTGCCTTAATTAGGGACTAAAACACAGACTAGACTCGGGTTGTTGATGCTCTTACTCTTCTTTCTCGTAATAAAAAATCAGCAGTTTTTCTCTGTTTGAATGCCAACATGGAAACATCCACTGATCTCTGATATTCTGCTGAAATATCGGAATATCTAGGATACTGGGGAAGAAATTGGTTGACCTCTCTATATCAGAATATCGGCTGATATTTTCATCTTTAATCCTAACAAATAAGGGTCAGTATGGCAAGGATATTGGACACTCCAAATATGTGGATACATTTTGTGATATCTAGCTCTGAAAATAAAAAAAATCATAAATTTTTTTTAAGACAAGAATGTTCACACCAATGACCAATCCAGTTCTGTTCCACCAACTAAAACTCGATTTATTTGGGTTCTCTTTTGTATACATTTGGCCAGGTCATCACAATTCACAAATAAGCATAAATATAAAGTGCACACTGCACATACATGCACATATTAAGTACTACATGCATTGTACAGATAAACATATGCATTTTACAAGATATGCATCTCTCACACACATTAGAGAGGGAAGGAGAAGAGAGAGAGAGAGAGAGATTATTAATTGTTATGTCTTCATACATTGAAAGTACGGCCTCCACATTCTGATGATGAGTGTTCAACCGCAATTTCACCTTGAAGAAGTACATGCAAAAGAAAATGTAATATTCTCGCTATGAAGTAAGACTTGATTAGAAAACCTACGCACTAGCAGAGGGTTAAGGAACTATTAAACAAGAGGGAAATGATAATTGATTACCTTGAAGTCAAAGTATTACAAATTCGAAGAATGATTTGAAATGTACCTTTTCTTCTGTATCATCAAAACGTTGGGTGAGCCTTGACGCAATCTCTTGGGTCTCTGGCCGAGAATACTTTAAATGGTATATCTTTCCAGTAATAGGATCTAACCTTCTTCCAACAACTCTCTCAACAAGAATCTCTTCAGGGACCTGCAAATGCAATGTCACATGGATTACAAGAGTTATGAAGTGATATTACTTTTTGTGTCCAGCAAAGGGGAATTTACATGGGGTTTTTTTCCCTCTATGCATCAACAAAAGCTGAAATTCATGTTACAAAATGAATTTTCATGGCTTATAAACTTACAAAGAAATCTAATAAAATAACTACAATATGTAAAGAAGCTTCTACAAGCTCCTATCTATTTACAATGCTCCTTAACAATTATAAATAACAACCGCATAAAAAACAATTCCTTACTTCTAGAAGAATGAAAAGATCCGGCTTAAACCCTAATTCCTTAAGAGCAATTGCTTGTGATGAGCTCCTAGGGTATCCATCCAAAAGCCAACCTTTTTCTTTAGAATCTGGCTGCAATAGACGCTCCTTCACCATCTGCAGGATTAAAACCAAGGAATCACCAATAGAATGAAGATGTGTTGACATGAATATAATTTCCCTACCATGACAACTATTTCATCTGGAACCAATTGTCCTTGTTCCATGTACTCTCTTGCACGCCTTCCATTTTCACTCCCAGATGCAATCTCTGCTCTAAGTAAATCTCCAGCAGCGACATGCACTAAACCATACTGCATACAGGAGGATGACTCGATTCAATCTGCTTTTTATCATGAGAAAATCATGACATAAAGTGGTAAGTGGTAACTTATGTAAACAAAGGAATAATTCATTAGGATTTGAAAACTCCTCTGACCCGAACTTTTAATATCAAGATTCATAATCATCTGAAATTCATCAATTGCTTTATGTGCACATCTTAGGGGAAAAAAAACTGCAAATTGGTGTTCAAAACTTTTACTGAAATGCATAAGAATAGGATACATAACCCAAAATTGGCCTTTTAGGCAAAAAAAGCATCAGTAAACTAACAAACCCTTTACGTTTTCTTCACATGAGGTAATTGAAAATGCCATAAATTATTAAGAAAAACAAACACTGGCATTTTTAAGTAATATTTGGTAGTTGTGAGAACTCACCTTCTGGGTAATGAGCTGGCATTGCGTTCCTTTACCAGAAGCTGGCGCCCCTGATATCATTATTCTCAGCGGCTCTGCCTTGGCAGACCCCACAACCTGTTTGAAATTAACAATCAGCCAAACCATGCTCAATTCTCAACCCAATTAAATTAAAGAAAAACCAAAAAATGACCAAAAATACAAAAAGCCTCTCTGATTGATTGAGTGTAGGTAAAATGCGTACCGGGAAATTCTGAGCTCTGCTGGAACGAAACGGAGTTAGGGTTTGAGGGCGAGAGGGAGAGAAACCGGAAATGAAAGAAGACTGTGAGGACAAAAGAAGCTTACAACAAGATTTGGGCTTTGAATTCGATGGCGCGGACAGAGACGCGTTCGGCCGCTGAGAAGGCTTGTTAGGCTGGCCTATGGCTGACGCCATTGCTGCTTGGTGGACTACGTTTACATTGCAAGCCATTTTGCTCTCTCTCTTCCACTCGCGCTAGCCCCAGCGACCACTGAGATAGATGGAACCAAAGAAATTTTGATTCTTCGATTGGAGTGGGCAGAGTTATGCTCTCAGGATAGAGAGATTAAAAAGAAGGGCGCAATGGGTTATATAGCAAGGGGTTAAAAAGAGTATTTACCCTAAAAAATTTACCCCTATATTTAAACTTTCTAGGTTCGATTTCTCCTCTCCAACATCGCTTGTATAAAGAGAAAAGAAATTACTACCCCCAAACTTTACAAATTATAGATATGCCATTATTTTTTCATTAGGTGGCTCACACACGCGTGCAAAGGCCTTTGGTCACTTGGTTAAAAACCTTTTTGGTCAGTGAGCCTCAAATTTAGATAAATTGGTCACTGCATACTTCAACATTTACAATTTTTAAACGTGCAGTTATATTCTCGTTAAGAAAAATATCCTTTACACTAACGGCTTGCTTAGGGATCGCTCATGACAAATATCTTGTTAAAATATGTATGTAAATAATATTAGAGTTTGCATAAGAAAACACTTTCACTTTGTCCCACATTGAAATAGAGTAGCTTCCACACATGATTTATAAGCACCAACTCACTTAAATTACTAAATAGGAAGTGGGCCTAGTGGAATGAACATTGGGCCTCACCTTATCACTTTCCCAGAAATAATCACTTTCTGATAGAAGCATATCATGCTTGTATCTACAAGCACATGAGGCAGAGGAGAAATAATGTCTAAAGGACACTGCGATTCTGGTGTATCAATTTGATTTGTTGATATATATAATATATTTAATTTTGTTTTATGCTGTTATTTGGTTAATTTTCGGATTGTTATCCAACATATCATTCTTATTAAACATTTATACGTTAATGGGAAAATCGAACTCTCTTCTTACAATGGTTTTGGGTGAATGATTTATGCTTAAGACTTTTCGGGCACTAAACCAAAAGGTATATACATAACTTATATAGCAACACTGGTAAACCAAAAGGTATATATAAAACACATTCAAGTTTCGACTGAGAGTTATATTTTATCCGTTCCATTGCTGCAAATCAATCACACATGTCCAGATTTACTTCCATCCATGAAACAAGGCTGTTGACATGAGGCAGGTATGTTGTAGAAGACCTCGGGATACATCCTTCTACCATCTCAACCTTTCTCATCTCTTGATGTTGGAAGTCATAAACATAAAAGGAACCATCTTCATCTCGCTTGAAAATAATGTCGCCCTTGATTCTTAAACTAAAAAGGGGAACCATGTCTATTATGGAACCCACGGTGATACTGTGATACTTCGTCCAGACTTCTCCATATAAACCCTTTAAGATCCAAATGTCAATATGGTTCACGTCCTCATGAACAACAAGACCCAAAGCGCCACCCATTTCAACAATCCTATCATGAGTTCTGCTACTTCTTGGGAGTGGAATTTGGTGAAACTTCTCCTTATCGACTTCAATAGAGACTACGTATTCGCTACGGTCAACTTGAGGAATCCAGTGCAGACCTCCAATTGCTGAAATAGGTCCATCTACAAACCTATTAAAGAACCCAAATGAAGGACCATTGACTTCTCTCCATGCTTTTGTCCGAAGACTCAAAATCTCACAGCTAACATACCTCAACTCATCCCGAAACAAGTGGACTACTTTATATTCACCAGTAGAATCAATCAATGCAAAACCATAGGACTCATCATGTGGACGAGATAAAGTACCCAGCGGAAGTGCAATCAGCTTCCTAGTCACAGGATTCATGACTACTAGTCCTCCGTTCTTCAATTTGTTATCAAGCAGAATTAGACCGTTACAGGTGGCTCTAATATTGCCAGAGCAGCTTAAACTGTACTCTCCTCTCTTGCTCTTATCATTTTTAAATTCCAGAAACTGGACAGAAAACCTTGGAGCATTTATGGTTGTGTGGTTGAAAATGGGGATAGGCTTTGGGTGAAGAAGATTTAATTCAACTGAAACAGTGTTTGGCATCTCTTTTGGTACAGAAGCCATAGAAAAAGGGTATAGACTTTCATTTGGAAATGGTGATAGAAAGATCAAAACAGATTCAGAGCGATGGAGATGAGCATCAATGAATTTGGGGTTTTTAATTATGTTATACCAAGGTTTGCAAACAAACCTTGACCTTTGAAGAGAGTCAAGAGGAAGTCGCACAAGGATATTTGCGATACAATCTTTATGGAGATAAGGAACTTGTTTTTCTCGCTTATGTTTTTTCTCTTCCTCTATTTTCTTGGTCAATGATCTCTCCTCCACTAACCTTAATAAGCCAACATTCTTGCTTCCTAGTGATTTTGCCATCGTGCCTTTTAGAAGCTCTTAACACCTATAGATACAATGATGACATTATAAACAATCCATTTTGAAATAAAGAAAGAATTAAAGAAGCAAGAGGAGGATACACAGCACTTGGCAGCTTTCAGGAAAGTATCAAATGACTACGTAATAGAAGATATTATGTGTTAAAACTACTGTTTGTTTATAAAAGGGAACTGTTACCAGTTCTTCTCTTTGGTTCATGCTCTTTTAGGTGCATATAATGGTCCACACACAAACATAAACAAAAAGTATTTTCTAGCCTGCTATTATTTATTTCATTTATTTTTATAATTGCCTGCTTATCTCGCCTCCTTGAAACAGATTCGATTACCAGTATGGTATCACTTATGTACATATTTTCCACACCCTCCTCAGCATCCCTATCTCTTGTATGTCTGTGGAAATTGATCTTCTACATCCTTCACTAGTAAGTAGGGTCTACATGTGAGGAGAAAGGAAGAAGCCTAACTGTTAAAATTCAACATACGAATCTTAAACCAGCAAATATCCTAGGGCTCCTTCTATGAGTCTAGCTTAGGATGCAACAGCATGTGAAAATTTTGTGCATGTACATGATCGCTTAATGTAAATCAATAAATCAAGTCACCATGAACCCTTAAACAGAAGGTCTGATTGATCACCTATTTTAATTAAAGTTCAAAGTTAAGGAAACTTATGTAGTCCAAGTTTAGTCTTGTAAGACTACATCTACTAACCTATGTTCCTCAAGAGTGCCTAGGTAAGGGATCTAAACAACTTTCATTCATGATCAATCTTCTTAAATTATGGCATTACAATCTCCTATGAATGCATCACTTCAAGAAATTGAATTGATGGAACTTTTAGATCATATGTTCTGGCATAATTGACAAGATTGGTTCTAATAAAACAATCTTCCATTTATGTGATTGTTTTTTTTCCAAAACCAAGCAAACAATTATAACATAACTCACACTCAACTAGAAGGGAGAGGGAAAAAAGAAAAAAAAAGAAAAAAGAAAAAAGAGAAAAGACCTTGATATATGCTCTGATCATTTTGGAGTATGCTCATCCTATCATCCATTTTAATGGTGTCAATTGGGCCAAAAGAAATCAATACGCTTAGCCTTATCTTTGCATACTTACTAGCCTCAAAAGCTCATATGAGAGGTTTTCATGATCAAAACAGATTCATTAGCAAAGAATATGTAATTCATTTTTCACAATATCCAGAAAATCACTAGCAAAGGGAAAATTCAAGTGCAATTTAGTAAAAATAGAAAAAACCCACAACCAAAAACACAAAATAATTTCCTAAACTAAGTGAAAATGGAATGATCAAAAGAGTAGGCGAAGCAGAGAGCATGTAGTGTACCTGATGAGGAGAGCGGTTGTCGTCTCTATGCGATGTGAAGAGTGAGAAAGTAAAACGTTTTCTGAGCGTGCAAGACTTTTGTGAAGAGAGCGCGACCAAGAAAGGGCTCCGTTGTTACCCAAGCGACGACCCATTGTTTTGTTTTCTTCGCCTCATTTGGAATTTGGAAATGGTTGACGACGCTGCTGGTCGTTTTTCTTGTTTTTACTTTTTATTTATTTGGCCGGGCCCTCCTCCCAATTGCTTCTGTCGTTTTTCCCGGTCCACTCAGCAACTCGTAAACGGATCGGATTTCAGTCCGAATTTGATTTCAATCTAATAATTAAGGTAATTTTCACTTTATTACCATAAACATTTACTGAGTTTCAACCCTTTAATACATGAAAAGTTTTTTTTCGTCTTAGTCGCATATATAAAGTTAATTTTCCTACAACTTTCATATATATGGTCACTCTTGCCGTTAATAATTATGTTAACCACTAATGTGGCAATAAATATGTTACATAAACCCAATCATATAGTGCTACGTGATATGACAAAAAATAAAAATTAGTTTAATTAATCAATTAAAAATGTCCCTAAAATCAATTAAAATGTTAAAATGATATATATATTAAATTAAAATTAAAAAATATATATATATTAAAAAAATTAAAGTAATAAAATCTGTCTCCATCTTTCTCTGTCTTGTTGTTGTATTTGGTCCTTGAAAAAATTGTATCCATATTTGGCACCTTAGTTACATTGTACTGTTTTTCTTTATTTTATCAATAAAATACTATCTTATTTTATCAAAAAAATAGGAGTTGAATTTAGAGTCTTAATTCAATAATTTGATGAGTTATTTACACTAACATCCCCTTAAGTTTCAAAAATTACTTGAACACCCCTAGGTTTTAAATTGTTTTTATAAAACCATTTTTCGTTGATTTTTCGTCTAAAGATTGATTTATATATAAAAAATTCCTAAACTCCCAAACCAACTTCAACTAACAGAATTAGTAATTTTAAAAAGACCAATTCACAAATTAAGCTGACATAGAGAAACGCCTCAAATTAGACGCATAAGAGACGAAGAAGATCGAGCAATAGATGCAAAGAAGAAATCTAGATAAGGATACGTTATCAAGAAATTGAGCCACGATAATGAAAAGAAACACTTGGCCCAAGGTCACGCAGAGAAGAAAGAGGACGTGAAATGTAGCATCAAAGAAGTTGCAGGCTGCCAAGGATGGCGAGAAGCTGGAAGACGAAGCATGTATTCCTTATTTTTTCCAATTCTTTTTTAAAACAAAATAAAAGGGTGTTTCAGTAAGACAAGGAGTATGAGGAAGAAATAAGATTATTGATTATGAGTGTCACTAGATTAATCTAAGGGCTGTTATTAAAGATGACCTTTATATGACATAATTTTTAAGTCTTTATGTAAGCGAGAATGCTAAGAATCCACATTTAATATCCAAATATTAAAAAAATTACAAAAAACCTAAAAAATATTTACAACTTATTTAAAAAATGAAGAAACCGCAAAAACAATTCGGATCGTTAGAATAAAATCCGCAAGACTAAAAACAAACATATCAACCAAATAAAGTTATATGAGATACCCAACAAGACTAAAAACAAAAATAATTTCTTTATATCAGAAGCAACAGGTGAGATGAGAAATATCGAAACAAAGAGCTAGTCGGTCCATTTTACTGAAAAAGAAACGCAGCTGAGCGACTCTTTTGTTGTGCGAGTCCGTGAAGCAGGAGCAGGCAGCCACGTCATCGAGCCTGCCCCTTCTCAATTTAATGGTTTTGAGATTGAGGCTCTTGGCGAAGGCCATTAGTCGAACCAGCACATATCATCGGTAATTTCTTCTTCTTCTTCTTCCTAACATAGCTTTCCCGTCTTCTTCTCCTTCTTCTGCAACATTTCTGCAAGCAATTTTTGACGTAACAGTGGTGGGTGCATTATGCATATCTAGTAAATGACTGAGTGAGATAGAATTTATGTCTTCATTGTTCTTTATCTCCCTTTTTTACTGTTTGAAAATCGAGTACAATATCATTCTGTGTCTTGTTGGTTGCAACTGAGCTATCCTTGCATGATTGCTATTTTTTTTGTATTTTTCCTTTTGGTGGTTTTTTTTTTTTTTTTTTTTTTTTTTTTTTTTTTTTTTTTTTTACTTTAAAATCTTTTTTTTTTGATGTTGGTCTGGCCCTCTTCCATGTTTTTAACCACCTTCAGAAAATAAAGACCTTATAGGAAAGGTGGTATTTTGATTGTTTTGGTTAAATTTTGGTTCTCATTTGATGCTTGACTTTCTGTGTTGCGCTTTGTTTGCTTTGTTCTCTTTCAAGTCACCTATCAAATCATTAATCCAAAATTTAGATTTCATTATATCTCTCTCTGATTATATTTACTTCAGTTCAACAGATTCTCATATTAGCATTTTTGTTTAGTCTAATGTCCTGCAGTGCAAATATCTTGGGGAAGGTTGAGAGAATGGTTGACAACGATGAGAAGAAAATTACCCGTGTTCTCTTTTGTGGGCCACATTTTCCTGCTTCTCATACATACACAAGAGAATATTTGAAGGAGTACCCCTTTGTTCAGGTTCCTTGATTTTCTGCATTTTCTCTCTATTTGGGATCGGTACCCTTTGATTGATTCTTTGACTTACTCTTTAATGTCATTTGAAAATTGATTGGCTCTTGAATGACATTTGAAAATGACATAAATGGACCAACTCTTTTGATTACCACTGACATTTTTCTTTGGACCAAAAAAAGCATCACTGACAAACTTTGACTAACATGTCTACTGGTTTCCAAATGGTCTTTTTATTTTCTAACCACGCTATTGCTTCTGTATCACATTTCTAATCTATCTATCTCTATCCAATGGTCCTTCCTATGGATGTTCCATTATGTATTTCCAACGCTCCTTCCTATTCATGTCACATTGAGTATTTCAAGTTTGATTATCATAGGTAGATGATGTTCCCCTTGATGACGTGCCTGGTGTTATCCAAAATTATAATATCTGTATAGTGAAAACCATGAAGTTCGATTCAAATCTTCTCTCTCGTGCAGAAAAGATGAAGCTTATAATGCAGTATGGTGTTGGCCTGGAAGGTACTTCTTATGTCTATCAAATTGTTATAAATAGAGCGTTTGGGATATCTTATGTGTATATATGCTTACAATTTGTATTTGATTTACTGAAGGGGTTGACATTGATTCTGCAACTAAGTTTGGAATCAAAGTCGCTAGGATTCCGAGTCATGTAACTGGAAACGCAGCATCATGTGCAGAAATGGCGATTTATCTGATGCTGGGCCTTTTACGAAAGCAAGTATGTTAAGTTTTTACAATCAACTTTTTTTTTATCTTCTTTTTTAAAGCCTTTATGATATGCCAATTTTTTAATTTTTTTTCCTCCTAGGTATTGTAGTGTTGAATGCTTTTGTTCGTGTCCTACTCCTTTCAATTTATGATCACCCAAGTAGCCTCACATTTGGATATGGTCATCGCTCTTTCTGAAAAACCAACTTCTTACTAATATGCTATATAGATTTTTTTTATTTTTAAAAAGGGGCACAACTATAGTGTACAGCTTATGTACAGCTTATATAGTGGCCAAACTGTCCACTGAAGCAGAGGAAAAACCTTAGCCCACCAGGACTAAATGTTAGAAAAATAGATGTAATATTGCTACATTAATTTGTAAAATACAAAACTCAAATAAACATGTAATTGAAAGATCAAAATTCTAAAACATACAACAAATACCCAAGTAAGAGAGGCAGAAAAATTGTAGAAAAACTTTACTTTGTTAAGGCTAGTGTTTGACACTATGGCCTTAAGACAATATTACGCCCAACACTGGTTAGACTTCAGTTAGGCCTCCTCGTTTGGATAATGTCACAAGTCACTCTATCACAAACAATAATCCAACTCCAAATTTTATGATTTAGTACTTAGAGGGATATGTCACTAGGCTTCCTAACTCCTTCACTTTTCTGTGTGTATAGTGTAACTAGCTACACCCCAAATCAGTGTTTGGCTTTGGCATTCAAGAAGGAGTAGACATATTTAGACATTTTCTTTATGTGAAGTGGTTCAATAATATCTAGTTTAAAAAAAATAAGGAGGGAGTGGTGATTAAAATTGGTTTAGAAAAGTGGTCATGGTGATTGCGGTTCTCTAAATTGTTTGTTTGAAAGGAAAGGTGTTGATAGTAATGGAGGAAGGGGAGGAGTGGATGCTTGAGTTCAACTTTTGTTTCATTTACTATTAGTGATAGGGATGGATTTAAACTTCTAAGGGTCTCATACAGGGTGATCTCTGAAGTAGTTTGTTCATGAGTGTTAGAAATTTTACCTTGATTAAGGGTTTAGTTGTGGGGAGGGAGTGAACACAAGTATCTCATTTGCAGTTTGTAGATGACACAGTCTTTTTTACTTTGGGAAAGGACAACAATATATATATATATATATATATATTTATATCTATGTGTGTGTATTTGGTTGATATACTGGTGGCCGAAGACCAAAGGACGATATATATACATATATTTTAATTTGGTTATAAATATTCCATATTTGGGGTTAGTCTCAGATTTGAAAACGTCAAAAGTTAATGGTGGGTATGAACATTGAGAAAGGAAATTGTTGTGCTTAGGAAGGGGTTTGCGTTGTGATTGTTTGGAGTAACCCTTGTTTAAATATTTGGGAAGCAATAGTGGTAATGCCCTAGCTATTCTCCTTAGTATCAGCTAATTTTCTGCTAGGAAATGGTGCTAAAATTCAGTTTTGGAAAAGATGTTTGGTATGGTGATTTATCTTTCCATTCTTTGTTCCCCTATTTATATTGGTTATCTCTGAATCATAATGCATTGATGTGTTGTCTTGCTTCCTTACATCTTCTCATACTATTTCTTGAAATTTAATATTTGGGTAGAACTTGAATAGAGAAAATTTCTTGAAATTCACCCTGTCATACTAGGGATACCCTTCTGTTCATATTCATCTTAATTGGTTGTGATTTATGAGGTGCTAGCCTGCTATTCATGTATATGTTGCAATATTTCTGGCATTTCCTGTAATTTATCTTTTATTTAATTTAATAAAAGTTTATGTTCC